GGAATTTCAAGATCCAGAGAGGGCAGCTGCTTTGCTTAAGGTCACACAGCTGGCTGGGGGCGGGGCTGGAACTAGATTCCGGGTAACTGTGGGAAAAGTCTGGGTAGGTGGCTACCTCACACCAAGAATCTCTTCCCTTTCTATCCATCTTAACCCCTAATGGACTCACTCACAACTCTTTTTTTTAAAAAAAAATACTTTATTGATTTTTTACAGAGAGGAAAGGAGAGGGATAGAGAGTTAGAAACATCGATCAGCTGCCTGTTGCTCACCTCCTACTGGGGATGTGCCCACAACCCAGATACATGCCCTTGACCAGAATCGAACCCGGGACCCTTTAGCCCACAGGCTGACGCTCTATCCAGTGAGCCAAACCGGTTTCAGCTCACTCACAACTCTTAAGCACTTGCTGGGACTTTGGCTGGCTAGAGTTGCCAAAGCCCTATAGATTGGAGGAGGGGATCCAGTTATCCCCATTTTACAGATTGATAAACCAAGGCAGCAAAGAATGTGTGTCACACTTCAAACTAACGGCAGAGGCAGGATTTGACAGTAAGCATTGTGTTCTTCCTGAAAGAGAGAGAGAGAGAAAAAAATCCCACCCTGCAGAGTCACTATTTACAATAATCTTGAGGACTGGCCTCAATGCCTGGGGAACCCCCTCACTCCCACCAGTTCCTCTTTGCTATCCACCCAGCTTGCACAGGAAAGAACCAGCACACCCACCCTCACACGCCAAGGAGGCCAGGAGAGACCACCTCGGAGTCATAACCTTTGACGGGGAAATCACCCTCACCCTTCCCTGTGCCGGCACTTAACAGCATCATTGCCCACTGGGTGTCACCGTCCGCCTTCTGAGATGGGGAAACCGAGAGTCAGAGATGAGACATGAGTGCTCTAGCCCGTTTGGCTCAGTGGACAGAGCGCCGGGCTGCGGACCGAAGGACCCCGGTTTTGATTCTGGTCAAGGGCATATGCCGGGGGTTGCGGGCTCAATCCCCAGTGGAAGGTGGGCAGGAGGCAGCCAATCAATGATTCTCTTTCATCACTGAGGTTTCTCTCTCTGCCCCTTTCACTCTGAAGCCAATTTACAAAAAAAAAAAAAAAAAAAAAAAAAAAAAAAAATTTAAAGAGGACATTCGTAACCCATGGTCAAAGCCGGTAGGTAGCGAGGATGGGTCTCGAACCCAGGTCCCTCTGGCCCTAGCGCCCCCTCTTTCTTTCCATCAGGCCACGCCAGGCTCTCCTACACGGGCAGGTGCACCGCCTGGAGCCTCTTACTGGCTGGACTGCTTCGGGAAAGTAACTTAACCTCTCTGGACACCCCCCAAGGTCAGCAGCTCTGCTTTCGGGGAAGAAATCCGTATGCAAAAGAGACGCCAACGAAACGCCGGTCCGCGGGCGCCCGCGCCGTCCTTTCCCGGAGCTCGGGGCTTTCTAAGGAGAGGGCGTGTCCCGGCCCGGGCCCCGGCGCCGCAGCCCCCGGCCCGCCTGGCAGAAGCGAAACCGCGGCGCCCGCCGGCCTCCCCCGCCCGCTTCTGGGAACCGGCGGGCCCGGCTTCGTGGAAACGCGCGCCGCGCGGCAGCCGACCGGAGCCCCAGGACCCCCGGACCTCAGCCCGCGGTCCCGGGCCGGCGGCGGCGGGGACGGCGCGGGCGGGCCCGAGAAGCAGCGTGACGCGCGCTTCCGCCCCGCTCGGCTCCGGCGGCGGCCGCGGCGGCCCCACAATCCCCTTCTGGCTCCGGGGACGGGCGGGGCGGGGCGGGGCGGGGCGGGCGGAGCGGGCGGAAACAATTTTCTGTTTGGTCCTCTCGGCCCCAGGCCGTGGGCCGCGGGTCGGGCGGGGGATGCGGGAGGCGGGAGAGGGAAGAGGGATGGGGAACGCGCTGCCCCGGCCAGCTTAGAGGGAGGACACTGAGAGGGGCGAGCAGGATTGCAAGCCTACTGTGTGCTTTACATTAGGATTTTGTTCAATCTTCCCCACCGCTCCTGCCAGGAGCAGCTAACCCCTGCGTGTAAAGGGACAAGCTGAGCTCTGAGAAGTGAAGTCACCCAGGACCAGCGTGACACCTTACAGCAGCACCCAGTTACACCAGAGAGAGCCCGAGGGATCGGGACCAGTTGTTGGCTGGGTCCTGCTCTTGCTTCTTTAAAAAAAAAAAAAAAATGTGGCTAGGCACATAGTAAGTGCTCCGAAAAAGACTGGAAACTGAAGGACGAGTTTGACAGCTCAGCCCTGGGTGGACTCGCCGCGAATCCAGGGTCCCCGGACTCCCCCAGAGTCCGGGATCCAGACCCCCGAAGGGAGCTTTCGCGATAGACGGGCGGCCAGCGGCCAACGGAACGTCCGATCGGCGGACAGGTGGTGGCGGAGCCCCCGCCCTGGCGGAGGGCGGACCGGGTTCAAACCCCCCGCACTGCCTCCGTTAGGCGGTGGGGCTGTGGGCACGTCATGTCGCCCGCGGGGACCCGCTCCTCCACCTGTAAACCGGGGGTGTTCATGCCCACCCCAAAGGGTCGTGGAAAGGAGCGAACGAAACAGTGTCCCCACACACTCACGAAACGCGCCAGTGTCGTCGCGCGTTCACCCCCCGAGTTCCCGGCGGCGGCGCCTGTGCCCGGGGTGCGGACCCGGGACAGAGGCTCCTCGGTTCGTCTCCGCCTCCAGGCCGCCCACTCGCGGCCGCCGGGACCGACGGGCCTCCGGGTGACCCTCATCCCGCGAAACCCTGCAGCGGCGGCCACCTCCACTGGCCGCGGTCAGTCCCGAAAGCAAACATTCAAACGTCCCGACACTGGCGAACGGCGAGGGCTGACATGGTTGCGGTTCATCTCCTCTGACGTTCTGTTCTTGTCGGTCAAGGTCGTTTCCTGGGACTTCCCGTCGGGGTCTGGTTTGACTTTTCGTCCGAGCGAAGTTCACGGAGCAGACCAAGATGCCCGCGCGTGGCGGTCCGAGCAGGGATCCCCAAACTGCAGACCCGCACCCCCCCCCCCCCCGATTCCCGACCATCCCCTCCCCCCGCACCCGGTCCATTAGACGGAGCCTCCTCCTCCGGGCAGCCCTCCGGCATTCCCTGGAGGAGGAAGGGAAGGCGGCGGCCGCAGCCCAGAACTCGGCGTCCCCAACCTCCCCAAAGCCTAGCTTTGCCGGGATTAAGGGAGTAAATCCCTGACGCCGCAGACCAGGTCAAGGACAAGTTCTCCCCCGCCCCGCACCCGCCTCCAGCTGGGGCCCGGATCACCCCCTCCCTCTCCCGGATGAAAGGTACTAAACAGACGCGGCGGGAGGGGAGGCGGCGGCCCGGCCCCTTGATGTTCCGGTTGAACAGGTGCCGCTGAAAAGGGGGCGGGCCCGGCGGAAGAGTCGCCAGGGGGCCGTGCATGGAGTGGGGGGGGGCGGCGGCCTCCTCCAGCCTCCATCCCCGCGGGTCTGCCCCTCCGCCCGCCGGCTGCCCATCCCCCGCAGGAAGCGCTCCCGGCCCAGAGGGCTTTGAAGTGTGGCCGATGCCCCCCCAGAGCCGCCTTCTCTCCGCCGCCACCCCGCCGCCCAGAGAGGGTGTGACCTTTGGTCTTTGCGGGCGTCAGCACCCCTTTAGGAAGTTGGGCGGGAGGGGGGGGCGCGGCGGTCAGATTTCGTCCTCTTTTGCCCCCCACACGGGTCTTGGGGAGGAGATACCCCCTCTCTTCTTCCCAGATCCAATGTCAGGGGCTTTCATTCCTTGGGTGTGAGTGTGTTGTGTGTGTGTGTGTGTGTGTGTGTTGTGTGTGTGCGCGCGCGCGCGTGCCTAAAGGTCAAGGGTAGCTGGTGTGTGACCACTTCCGTAGGCGTGGGGCTCTAGCGTGCGTGGGTCCCTAAGCGCCTGCGGGGCTGGCCCTGGGCTGGGCTCTCCGGGAGGGGCCGGCCTCCGCCTGGGAGGGGCGGGCGGCGCGGCTGGAGGAGGCTGGGGGTGAGGCTGGGTGTCTGGGTGCCTCGGGGTGTCTGCTGGGGTGACGAGCCCCGGTGCGTGCGTGTCTGAGCGCCGGACCGGAAGCTCCCCGAGGGCAGGAATACCTGTTTTATGGCCCGCGCTTCCCAGCGGCTGCACATCGTAAGCATTCAATAAATGCCTGTGACATGAACCGAGGTCTGCGCGTTTCTCTGAACGTCTACCCTGCAGAACAGCCTCTGCGGGGAGGGCCCCCGACCCGGAGGGGCGAGCCACTCAGGCCGCCCCCGCTCCTCCGAGCGCCCCTTTCCCCTGCCCTCCACCCCCGTGTCCTTGGGCGTGAAGAGCGGCCGCAGAGGCCAGGAGCGGGGGGGGGGGGGGAGGTTGGAGAGTCTAGAGAGTCGGACCCTGAACCGAGCCCGAGAGACACAGGCAGAGGGATGAGGGCTCGGGGGGTGCCGACGGAGAACTACGGGCAGGACCAGAAAGAGGGGAGGCGAGCGCGGAGCCAGCGAGCGAAAAGCTCCCTACCCAGCCGGGCTTTGTTCCCAGAACCTAAGACTTTACCCGGCGGCGGCGGGCGGGCCGGGAGCGAGCGGGCGGCGGCGCGCGGCCATGGCTGCCGCGGCCGGGCAGGGGGGCCGGGGGGGCGGCGCGTGAGCGGGCGGCGCGGGGCGGGCGGCGCGATGAGCCTCTCGGCGCCTCCCCCGCGGGGCCCGGGCTGCGCGGCGGCCGGGCGGCCCTGGTAGCCGGGCGCGCGGCGCGGAGGGGGGCGAGCCGGCGCGCGACTCTCATTGTTGGGGGGCGGGGGGGCCCGTCGGGGCATGAGGGCGAGAGCACGGCGGGGGGGGCGGCCAGACCGAGCGAGCGAGGAGGAGGAGGAGGAGGAGGACGCCGAGGAGGAGGAAGGAGGAGGAGGCAAAGAAAAGAAGCGGCGGCGGCGGCGGCGGCGGCGGAGGAGGAGGAGGGAGCGAGGAGGCGCGCGGCCCCCCGCTCCCTCCCTCCCCCCCTGACCCCCGACCCCCGCCGGCCGGCCCCCCGCCCCAGCCCCGGAGGGAGCTCATGGGAGCATGAAGGAGATGGTAGGAGGCTGCTGCGTATGTTCGGACGAGAGGGGCTGGGCCGAGAACCCGCTGGTCTACTGTGATGGGCACGCGTGCAGCGTGGCTGTCCACCAAGGTACCGGGCGGCCCGCGGGGGGCGGCGGGACCCCGGGGCGGCGCGCGCGGGGCGCCCTCGGCCGCGCCCTCCGGGGACCTCCCGGGGCTCGGGCGCCCCTCCCCCACGCCACCTGGGAGGGGAGGGAGGCGCCGGGGGGCTGCCCCCGCCCTGGCCTGGAGGGCCGGGTCAGGCATTGTTTTCCAGCCTATTGTTCCCGCCCCGCGCCCCCCGCCCCAAGTTGAGGGAGTTTGGAGACGGCCGGGGGCGGGGAGCGCGCTCCGGGCGCCCGGAACCGCCGGTGTCCGGGCCGCCGCGGGAATGTTTACCTCCGAGGTGTCCCCTCCTGCCTGCCGGGTTATTTTGGTCCCGGCTCTCTCCCGGAGGGAGAGGTCAAGGGGGAGTCACCCCCCTCCCTCCCGCTTCCGGATGCTGGGAGGAGCGCGCTGGGGAGGGAGGAGAAGGGTCCCCGGGGAGAGGGGACTCCTGGAACCCTCCCGGGAGGAGCTCCGGGAGGGAGAGAGGCTGTGCCAGGGGCCGGAGCCGGGCGAGGAGAGGGAGGTTCGGAGTTTCCCCCAGCAGCACATGGCTCGGGAGTTAACTCCTTGAGGAATCTCGCCGAGGGCGCAGGCTGGCATCTCCCGCCGGCCTGGCACGGCGGCGCCCCCCTCCCTCCCGGGACAGCCCTTAAGGCTGCCGCCGCCGGCTCTTCCCGCCACTCTCCCACAGGCTACCTGCACCGCACCGCCCTCGGCCTCGGCTTCTGACCTTCCCTGTTACATAATTCGAGGCACTAGAGGAGGTCCCTGGACCCCCAACTTTTCGCCTCTCCCTTTACTGGCCCTTTAAGACACCCCCCTCCCCCCAATAACAACACAAACGTGTTCGCCTATGGCACTGTTGTCCCTCCGGTTTTCTCTGTTCTGGATGATCTCTGGCGGAAATGGGGAAACAGGTCCAGAGAGGAGGGTCTTCTAAGACTAGAGTTTAAGGTCAAGGACTCGGACTTCCTGCCCCTACGCGGAGTTGCTTGGTTTTGTGGTTGAAGGCTGTCCTGTGCGCGGTTGGGCATTCTTTGTGGTCCTGCTGGCTAGTCAGTGACCCCCAGATAGAGGAGCAGCCCCCACACACTGGAACTGGCTGTAGTCCTTTAGAGTCATCCCTCCCCCCCCCTTACTCTGGGAAAAGCCACTGCTGACACATTTGCCCCATGACTCTCCTGCCCCCCCCCCCCAGCTTGCTATGGCATCGTCCAGGTGCCCACAGGACCCTGGTTCTGCCGGAAATGTGAATCTCAGGAGCGAGCAGCCAGGGTGGTGAGTTTGGGAGTCCCCTGCCCCCCCTCCCCCTACACCTGAACGTCTCCCCTGATGAGAGGGGGTGGGACTGTTACACCGGACTTCCTGTTTCCTGCACACCTATCGCCTACCCCATCTCGCCCTCAGCTCATTACTCACTCTGCCCCAGCTCAGGCAAGAAGGGGCCTTTTATTTTTGTCTGCTTGCTTGTTTGAACTTTTTGTTATGGAAAGTTTTCAGCCTGTACCAACGTGGAGGGAACTAGTCTAAGGAACCGTATGTTCCCATCACCCACTTTCAACAGTTCCCGGCTCGAGGCCAATCCTGTCTCCTCTAGACCCCAACTCACTCCCCCATAGACAGGGTACCATTTCCTCCCGGGGCCCCCAGCGCCTGGAGGCAGGTCCCCACCCCTTCTGGAAAGGCCTTCCTCCATCCCTGTGCCTCCTTGCATTGGCAGAGGTGTGAGCTGTGCCCACACAAAGACGGGGCATTGAAGAGGACTGACAATGGAGGTGAGGGGGGCCCTGAGCTCCAGGGCTCATCTGCTGGGGTCAGCAAGGCCCCCTGAGCAAGGGTCTGGGAAGGCAGGGGTGTGTGTGTGTGTGTGTGTATGGGGGTGCCTGATTTCCCTTTCCTGGCTGGCACTGGGATCCGATGGGAAGGCCACAGAGGCGGGTTGCCTGCAGGGTGGGGCTGTGAGGGGTCCCGGTCTAGGACCTGCCTGAGGCCTGCCCCACGCCGCCCCAGGCTGGGCCCACGTGGTGTGTGCCCTCTACATCCCCGAGGTGCAGTTCGCCAACGTGCTCACCATGGAGCCCATCGTGCTGCAGTACGTGCCTCATGATCGCTTCAACAAGGTCAGCGGCCCCCGCCCTGCCCTCCTGCCGGTCCCCTCCCTGGCGGGGTCCCTCCACCTCTCCCATCCAGTGAGATCTGATTCTGTCCCACACACACTTTCAGGAAACTCAGGAAGTGAGTAGGCACCTTTCCCTGACAGACGTGCTCATTCTCTGGAATTCAAGCGCTGTCAGAGGGTAGCCCTTAGCCAGCAGCCACTGAGTGCTGACTGTGCGTCACACCCAGGGCAGGGTACCCCGAGGCGCGCAGTGGTCAGTACTGATCAAAACAGAGGTGCCCCCGAAAACTCACACCCGTGTGCGGGAAGACCGTAAATATCAACAGACAGGCAAATACCGTAAAGGCCGTTTGTGATGAGTGCTGTGAAGAAAGCAAGGTACTGAAATAATACTGCAGGGGGAGGAGGCTTTGTTTAAAGTGGTAACGGCAAGAGACAGGCTAAGACCAGGGGGATGGGAGTCAGCCTTGCAGGCTCCAGGTTCAAGTCGGAGGTGAGAATAAGCCCCCCAGTGAGCAAGGCAGACGCAGTCCCCGAGGACCGTGCTCCCCACCATAGGAGCCGGCAGCCACTTGGCTATGCAATTTCAGACCAAGTCCTATTTCAAGTTCAGGTCCTCGGCCACACTGCAGGTGCCCGTGAAGTTCACGGCTACTGTACTGGGCTGGGCAGCATACAGCCTGTCCATCCTCACAGAAGGTTCTCCTGGACGGCACTAGCCTGGATAACGGGGGAAGGCTGGGATAGAGGGGGTCCCTGAGGTGGGAGGGAGGAGGGGACGAGAGCGCTGTGTCCTGCAGACCTGCTACATCTGTGAGGAGCAGGGCCGCGAGAGCAGGGCCGCCTCGGGAGCCTGCATGACCTGCAACCGCCACGGGTGTCGACAAGCTTTCCACGTCACCTGGTGAGACCCCTGCCCGCCTCTCGCCTCCCACTCCGGGCCTCTCCGGGGTCCCCGGCCAGCGGTAGCGACCCCCTCCGATGTTTGCCATGGATGGCCACCCAGTGGGCTGATCCTAGTGGCTGTCTGGTGATCCTGACAGACAGCGCTTCCCTGGGATGGCCGAAGGGCAGAGGCTGGGCTGGTGTGTGGCCACACCCTTCTCAGGCTGACCTCTCTTGGTTAGTGCCCAAATGGCGGGCCTGCTGTGCGAGGAAGAGGTGCTGGAGGTTGACAATGTCAAGTACTGCGGCTACTGCAAATACCACTTCAGCAAGATGGTGAGTCGAGTCCGCCAGGGCATGGATGGGTCCGTCAGCCACGGTTTGGAGGGCGTGGGCTCTGGGCCAGGCTGGTGCCCGCTGCGCGAGGTGACGGAGACGGAAGGAACCCTTCCCTGCCCTTGAGGCACTCTTCAGTGAATGGAGAGTCAACGGAAGCAGAGCCTGGGGGTGTGAATCAGAGTTAAACCCTTCAGCCCGCCCAGAAGCCAGAGCTCCTGTCAGTGACAGGGAGGGAGGCAGCACAGAAGCTGATGGAGGCGGGAACCGGAGCCGACATGTGGGGGCGGGGCTTACTGTGCCCCGGCCTCTGTGCTAAGTTCTCTGCATGTACTATTTTGCACGATCCTTCCAACGACCCTAAGGACTAGATGTCCTGCATCTTCCCATTTTACAGACGAGTAAACTAAGACCCACTGAGGTTCTGTAACTTATCTAGCAGCATGGATGGGGTTCAAACAGACAGTCCGATTTAAAAACCCCTCAGAAGGAAAGGAACCCCAGGTAGCGGGACTGGCGTGGGCCACGTCCTAAGAGGAGAAAGAATTTTCTGAGCAGCAGAGCAGCATGTTGGGTGGGGTTAAAGCAGATGAGGCAAAAAAAAAGAAAAGAAAAAAGAAAAGCTCAGGCAGGGCCAGAGCTGGGCTTCCCTCCGCCCCAGGCTGCAGGGAGCCACGGCGAGGCTGGAGAAGGGGTACTGTCTCATGTTTGTTGGAAAGACCTGTGGGCTCCAGCGGCTGTGTGTGTCCCGGAGAGAGGGCTGTGGCCAGACTAGGATTGCGGCTTGGACCTCACCCCCGGGCCACAGGCTTGTGAGGCTGCTTGTAAGCGGGAGGGTAACATGATCGGATTTGTTTTTTAGGGAAGATTACCCTGGCAGGCCCCGGGGAAGCCGGATCCAAAGGGGAAGGAGACAGCTGCGCAGGGCGGGGGATGGAGGGATGCGGCTGAGCTGAGAACATTTCTAGGTGGACTTGCCGTGTGTGGGAGCCGTGGAGGAGGCGTGGAGGGTGGCAGATAAGAACCCGGCGCTGAGAGCCGGGTGGATGGGTTTGAGCACCCGGGGATGTTAGGGACTGGCTGGTATAGGGTTAGCATCTGCCCTGGTCTACCCCAGGCAGCCCCTGTTTGTGCCTATTGCCCTGGTGGAATCATTAATAGTTCCCACTTTAAATGTCAACCGTGTCCTGGTTTGGTTCATAAGTTACATGGTTACCTTGGTTCCAGGGTTTGATGATGACTTAGGATGAGGGAGGGAGGTTTGGTTTACAGGCGGTGCCAAGTGGGAATGGTGAGGCTCAGTGGCTGTCAGACACCCTGGGCAGGGTGGGAGTGCCGGGGCTGGAACTCCCAGGTGCCTGTCAGGGTAGGGAGGGTCAAGGTGGGAAGGGAACCGTGAATGGGAGAGTCTTAGGAGCTTGGGATGGTGGTAAGATCAGTGCCCAGGGGGGCGATTCAATCAGACAAGGACTTTGTTTCAGACCAAGTCCTTGGGTTTGGCAATTGGTGGGCAGTGGGTGACCTCAGGGAGCAGCTGCAGGGCAGGGACACGGAAGCCAGCACCCTGGGCCTGGGGCGTCTGTTAGCAGCGAAGGAAGGAAGGAGCAGGCCCCGGCTGGGGGAGAGGCAGCATGGGGGTCGTTTGGGCTTTTGCTGTGGATGCTGACTTCCCCTTCTCAGGGCAGCAGTTCTGGAAGGAAGGCACCACTGTGTTTGGGGAGGGGGCAGGGCTGGGAACAAGGGAGAAGGGCTGATGGCCGGGGAGAAGGGTCTGGAGGGAAGGCTGGGGTGTGGAGTGGAGAGGAGCAGGGGTTCCCACAGGGGCCCCCATACATCCTCTACCCCAGGAACGGAGGCAGAGTGGGCGTTGGCTCAGCTGCCTGAGAAGGGCCAAGAGGACGCTGTGGAAAGAGGCGGGTGGAGAGCCAGGACCTGGGCCCCAGGCCTGCCTCCTCATGCCTGGCTGCAGCCTGGCCTCTGCTGGGCCTCAGTGGTCAGGTCTGTGCACTGGGCACACACGCTGGGGAAGCTCTGACTTCGTTGAGCAGAGCCTCGTTGAGAACACAGGTCCTCCCAGGGCCTGGCGGGCCAGGGGAAGGCGCCCCCAGGGTCACCTGACCTTCAGGAACCTTCCTCTAAGCTGAGGAGCGGAGCGTGTGGCAGCTCCTCCCAATTCTCCCCCCAGAAGACTTCCCGGCACACCGGCGGGGGAGGCGGCGGAGCAGCGGCCGCAGGCGGCGCAGGCGGCGGCGCCGGGGGAGGTGGCGGTGGCTTCCTCGCTGGCCGGAGAAGCCGGTCAGCCTCCCCGTCCGCCCAGCAGGAGAAGCACCCTTCCCACCACGAAAGGGCACAGAAGAAGGTGAGCGTCTTCCCCCGCTCCCTGTCCTGCCCCTTCCCAAACTTAGACCTCTTTCCAGAAGCCCCCACAAGGTGCCCCCGGCCAAGGAGCCTGCCTCTCCCCTCCTGAGGCCTCTGAGAGCAGGGAGGGGGCGGCAGGGGTGACACGTGAGGGTCACAGAAGGTCACAGAGGGTGAGGCGAGGGCCTGGCTTCCCTGGGGCTCTCAGGTTTGTGTGGCTCTTCCAGTGTCCTCCCCATGACACGCACCGTCCTCCCCATGACAGGGCACCATCCTCCCCATGACACGGCACCGTCTTCCCCATGACACGCACTGTCCTCCTCATGACATTGCACTGTCCTCCCCATGACACGCACCGTCCTCCCCATGACACGGCAGTGCCCCGACAGCCCCCAGTACATGGCCCTGCACACATCTCCTCGGTCTAGCCTTGTGTCCGCCCAGGTTGTAAGTGTATAGGCCTGCGTCCCCTGTGCCTCCTGTCACAGTGTGCCTGGCTCCCACCCCTCTGCACAGCTTCATGTCCCTGGTGGACACCCTGGCAGGTGCGTGCTCACGTGTGTGGTGCTCTTGTGTCACCGGCGTGATAACGGGACAGGCTGTTTTTAGCAGGAAGAATGGACGAGGGGCTGTTGGCTCTCAGAGGACCCTGCCTGAGCCACTCCTGTCCAGCCAAAGTCCCCCAGTCCCACCAGAGGGGGAGGTGACACCCACAAAGCCCATCCCTGAGAGGGGTCCACTGTCCACATGCACGTGTCATCTTCACCCCAAATGCCCCCCAAACCAATATCCGCTCACCCGTCCTTCCCCAGAGCCGAAAGGACAAGGAACGCCTTAAACAGAAGCACAAGAAGCGGCCTGACTCACCCTCCAGCATCCTCACCCCACCCGCGGCCCCCGCTGCTGACAAGGTACTGCTGCCCACGCCCCAGAGGGATGGCCACGGCAGCGGGAGGGAGGCTGGGTGTGCAGGGTCAGGGTGAGCCAGGGACCTGGCCACCCCCACAGCTTAGGTTAATGTGCCTCTGCTCCCCACCTCCACCCCCTCTACTCCCCAGCCCCACCCATCATGTACCAGCAGGAAGGTAGAGGTGGGTGGGGGGTACCGCCTTCCCTGCTGGCTGCCAGATGTCACCTCTGCCTCTGTCCAGACACGGAGCCTCAGCCCTGGGCTCTCGTCTGTGGAAACACGCTCACTTCTCCAGTTCTCCAAGCTCTGGAGCCTGTTCTCCAGAGATAGGCAGAGAGGACCCCGTCTCTCTCACCCCCTGCCCTTTGCACCTCTCCTCCCTGTCAGGAAGACGCCCCCAGCCTGTGAGCTAACCAAAATCCTACTCTGTGCATGCTGGAGGGACTGAAAGTGTGGCCCGTGGCAGGGCCCTGACAACACCCCGAAACCCCAACCCCCTCATCCCACCATCCCAGGAGGGGCATGGTATGGCAGGCCTGTCTCCAGAAAAGGGCAACATCAGGATAAGCAAACAGCAGGCCCTTCCCCGAGGCCAGGGAGCCCCTAATCCAAGCCATAGCAGACCTCTCCGCCCCTCCTGCCAGCCTGCCCGCCCCAAGGAAGGTGAGAGGGGCCTGGAGAAACCGCTCCTCCCGCCGGCCAGCATGGCTCCGTTCACGCCCACTGCCTGCCCAGGTTGGCAGAGCTCTGGGCATCTTGTTTGCAGGAGGCTCAGGTATCAGGTTTCCAGGGGGATGTTGCTGTGGCAACTACCCCAGTAACCCTCTCCGTGCCCTGCTTTCCAGGACTCACCTGGAAAAGCTGGTCCTCTCTGCCCTGTGCCCTTACCCCGGAGCCTGCAGACAGGCAGAAGGAGAGGGCAGAGGTCCAGGAGTAGCCCCCGGGGCTGGGCATTCCCTTGGACATGCTGGAGCACTCTGCTCATCCCCTCCACCCGCCCCAGCGTTGCTGGGGCCCTTCCCCCCAGCCCCTCTCCTCCCTTGCTCTCAGAACCACATCTGGCTCCCTTCAGAACTCCAGCTGTTGGAAAGAACAAAGGAGAGGAGACCAGGGCTCCCCCCAGAGAGGGCAGCACAGGGTGGCTCTCATTCCCCCCATCCATCCTCCCGTGGGCATTTGCTGGTTTAGCAGAGGCTGACGCATACCTGGTCTCCATCCCTGGCAGTAATACGATGCTCTCACTCAGCCACCGCGCACCAGCCTGCCTTCTAGAGTGGGGACCTGCAGGGTGTACAGGGATTCGCTTGTTTAATCCTCAAAACAGTCCAGTTTTATTAACCCCATTTAATAAATGAAGAAACTCGAGGTACAGAGAGGTTAACTAATTTGCCTCAAAGCGCACAGCCAGGTAGTGGTGGAGTCAAGATCTGAACGCAGGCAGCCTGACTTGAAGGCCCATACTCTCAACCAGCACAGTCAGACACTGCAGTGTGTTACTAGCAGCCATAGCCATCACCATCCTCATGGCTGACCCTGCAGTGAGTGCCTGGCATTAGGTCCCTCAGTGCGCTCCAAACAGGACACCGAAGCTCAGCAAAAGGGAGAGACCATGCAACGTAAATATGGCAGCAAATGCAGCGCCCACCCCCCTCCTGCCCCTGCCCCGCCGCCCTCAGAGGAGTGACGGGGGGGGGGGTCAGAAATGGGGACAGTGTATTTCAGTGGCAGCTGTTGGCATGGCTGATGTGACATACGGTGCCCTGGAACTAAGTGCCCCAGGAGTCCAGGGTGGCTTTCTGGATTTTGAAGGAGGAGAAGTTTTCCAAGAGTAATAGGCCCTCCTGGCAGAGGGCTCGGCGCTGCGAGCTCAGGCTGTCTAGGAGAGGCACGGAGGGCCAGGGACTAGGGTGTCAGCGGGTGGCTGCAGCTCGAGGAGAGCAAGGAGGGAAGGGTGGTGACTGGAGGGCCCACAGATGCAGCCAGGCCCTCACCACTTCCCAACATAAGTCCAGCAAGTATTTCTTTTTTCTTTTTTTTAAATATGTTTTGTTGATTTTTTACAGAGCAGAAAGGAGAGGGATAGAGAGTTAGAAACATCGATGAGAGAGAAACATCAATCTGCTGCCTCTTGCACACTCCCTACTGGGGATGTGCCCACAACCAAGGCACATGCCCTTAACTGGAATCAAACCTGGGACCCTTGAGTCCGCAGGCCGACGCTCTAGCCACTGAGCCAAACCAGTTAGGGCCAGCAAGTATTTCTGAATGAATGAATGAATGAATGAAGAGTATATTAGTACAGACTCCGAGACTGTTTTCATCTCCTACCCAAGGGGAAGGACAGACAGCTTCTTGGGTTCAGAATGCTCAGCTCTCCTCGCACCCAGCAGTTCCACAGCTGCTTCCCCATCTTCCTGGTCTAGGGACTCCTGGCACCACCTCTCTACCCGGGATCCTTCTCGAAGCTTATGGACTCTCCCCGTGAAGCCCGGGTCCTGCGTGCTCCTGCTCCACTCCCAAGTCAGAGTGAACCCAGGCCCAGGCAGTTGGTTTCAAGCCTTCCTCTCTCCTCCCTTCTTTAGGCCTCATCCTCAGCTTCCTCCTCCTCCCACCACGAGGCCAGCACTCAGGAGACCTCCGAGAGCAGCAGGGACTCAAAGGGGAAAAGGTCTTCCAGCCATAGCCTGAGTCACAAGGGGAAGAAGCTGAGCAGTGGGAAAGGTGTGAGCAGTTTCACCTCCGCCTCCTCCTCTTCCTCCTCCTCTTCTTCCTCCTCTGGGGGGCCCTTCCAGCCTGCAGGTGAGTGTGGGCAGGTGAGCCTCCTGGAGGAGGCTGGGAATGGGGCAGCCTTCTGCCCTGAGCTTTTCCAGCAAGGGCCTTTGCATATTAGTTTGCATCTTATTTTATTTGTGTGAGTTTTTTTTAATCCTCACCCGAGGACATTTTTCCATTGATGTTTAGAGAGAGTGGAAGGGAGGGGGAGAGACAGAGAGAGAGAGAGAAACATCAATGTGAGAGAGACACATGGATCAGTTGCCTCCCACATGGACCCTCCCCACCACCACCACCACCACCGGCGCTGGGGATCAAGCCTGCGACTGAGGCACATGCTGGGAATCGAACCTGGACCCTTCAATCCGTACTCTGACGCGCTGTCCCCTGACCCAAACTGGCTAGGGCTCTCGTTTGCTTCTTACATTGGTTCAGGTCAAAGATGGGGGATCCCCCACCAAATTAAACTTCTCCAAACCCTTCCCTCACCCTTCCCTTTGGAGCCGGAACTCTCCTCTCCTCCCCCTTTATTGTCCTTGGGGGAGGGAGGCCACACATCCTGGACACAGAGATAGTGGCGGAGCTGGGACAGGACACCAGGCTTCCCCGTCCCAACCAGAGCTCTCCCACCGGTGCATCCTGGGAGTGGGAGGGGGGGAGCCGGGATGCAGCTGTAATTCTGTTTTCCTTCTGTGCAGTTGTGTCCCTGCAGAGCTCCCCGGACTTCTCTGCCTTTCCCAAGCTGGAGCAGCCGGAGGAGGACAAGTACTCCAAGCCCGCGGCCTCCACCCCTCCAGCTCCCCCCTCCCCCTCGGCTCCCGAGCCCCCCAAGACTGACCTCTTTGAGCAGAAGGTGGTCTTCTCCAGCTTTGGGCCCATCATGCGCTTCTCCACCACCGCCTCCAGCTCAGGCCGGGCCCGGGCCCCATCCCCCGGAGACTACAAGTCTCCTCACCTCTCAGGGTCTGGGACCTCAGCAGGCACCCACAAGCGGATGCCCACCCTGAGCGCTGCCCCCGCGCCCGCCGAAGAGACCCCCCCTGAGACAGGCGTGAAGGAGAAGAAGCACAAAGCCAGCAAGAGGAGCCGCCACGGGCCGGGCCGTCCCAAGGGCGGCCGGAACGAGGAGGGTGTTGGCGCCCCCGCGGCGCCCTCCCTGCCTGGCGCCCAGCTGGCTGGCTTCACCGCCACCGCGGCCTCACCCTTCTCAGGAGGCTCCCTGGTCAGCTCCGGCCTGGGCGGTCTGGCCTCACGCACCTTTGGGCCTTCTGCAAGCCTGCCCAGCCTGAGCCTGGAGTCCCCCCTGCTGGGGGCAGGTTAGTGACCCTTTGGGATGGTGGGCATCGAAGGGCCCAGCCGGTCTAGTGATGGAACAGAGGGATAAGCATGTCGTTAGAAGGGAATGTGATAGACACTATACCAAAGGACAGAGGTAAAGGATGGAAGCGATAGGCACCTCTAAGACACTCCTCTGTACCCATCTTTTTTAAATATATATATATATATTTTTTTTTAATTGATTTTTTTTTTTTTACAGAGAGGAAGGGAGAGGGATAGAGAGCTAGAAACATAGATAAGAGAGAGACATTGATCAGCTGCCTCCTGCACACTCCCTACCGGGCATGTGCCTGCAACCAATGTACATGCCCTTGACCGGAATCGAACGTGGGACCTTTCAGTCTGCAGGCCGATGCTCTATCCACTGAGCCAAACCGGTTTCGGCTCTATACCCATCTTCTGCTTAGTTGTAGCAGGAGAGATTGTGTTTAGGACATAAAAAGTTTCGGTTGGGATGTTAGAATAGCTGGGAATCCCTCAGGCCCGGGCAGGGCAGGCCAGTGAGTAGGCATGTCAAGCAGATACCACCCAGGCAAAAAGTGACATCTGTGCCAAGAGGAGGTTAGGCTAGTGCCAGGAGCAGGGGCGGGGGGGGGGGGGGCCTCCCCCGCCACCTGCCTGGGGGCGAGGTGACTGTCGCTTTCCTCCTGTCCTGTGCCTGTAGGCATCTACACCAGTAACAAGGACCCCATCTCCCACGGTGGCAGCGGAATGCTGCGGGCGGTCTGCAGCACCCCCCTCTCTTCCAGCCTGCTGGGGCCCCCCGGGACCTCTGCCTTGCCCCGCCTCAGCCGCTCCCCGTTCACCAGCACCCTCCCCTCCTCTTCTGCTTCTATCTCCACCACTCAGGTGAGGACTTACTGCCGGGCTCTCCATCCCTGGGCAGGAGGGGGACAGGTTGCTAAAGACCCCAGCCCTCCAATGGGAACTTGAGATACTGGGCTTGATCCCCAGAACTCCCTGTCTCTGGCCCTCTCCCCCCCACCCCACCCCCCAGCACGCCTGGTCCCCTCTACCCCCACCCCATAAGCACAGTTGTGCCCTAGATCTGAGAATAACCCCCAGCTGGCCTCTGCCTCCTTCCCCTCAGGTGTTTTCTCTGGCTGGCTCTACCTTTAGCCTCCCTTCTACCCACATCTTTGGAACCCCCATGGGTGTCGTTAACCCCATCCTTACCCAAGCTGAGAGCAGCCACACAGGTATGTGAGTCTCTGACCCCGTTCCCCTTTCTTCCCAAAGGTCAGGGGCACCCATCCCCTGCATGTCTTCCCCCCTAAAAGAGGTGGGAGGGCTTTCTGGCTGCCCCCCCTCTCTGGTCATTGCCCACCCTGCAGAAAAAGTTTTCACACACAACAAACCTGGGTACACTTTCAGGTTAAAAACTTGCTGAGGGGTTGGGACAGGACAGGAGAGAATTACTGCTCCAAGTCACGGGGGAAAGCAGAGATTAATGTGTGAGCAGCTGAAGTAGGGAAATTCTGGTCTCCTGACTCTGACCCCAGTTTTCTTACCGCTCCCAGTATGGCTCCCAGCTGGCCTCGTAGTGAGTCTTTGGGATCAGCTGGCCTTATAGTGAGTCCTTGGGATCAGCGGTTACAGCGGTTACAGGGATCCCAACCAGCTGGGCAACCTGCTCTCCGGTTATATAGGAGTTAAAGGGGCGGGTCATAAGCGCCCCACCCTCTCCCTTGAGAGTCAGCCTAGCCCCAGAGAGCTGATTGGTGCAGACACACCACCTGGCCAGCCAGGGGCGGGGCCTACCCGCCACCAGTTCAGGTAGGCCTTCTTAAAGAGACCGAATCCAGACTTAAAGACCTGACACAGTAGGATGACACACCCCTCTCCCCCACAACCCAAATAGGAATGCTGTGTCCCCAACAAGGGCTTTGCCATCTAATTTGTGAGTTTATGCCTATAAAAAGCCATACAAAACATAATAGCCACAATTACTATGGGCTTCCTGCATGCAGCTCGGCTCTTCACATGTATTTGCCTTATTTTTAAGTCTCATTACAATCACTTCAGAGGTTAGTTGCAAGCCCGAGTTCACAGAGCAAATATCAAATCCCAGTTTGACCCAGGGATGTCTAGATCCAAAATTCCTATAGCATTTAGCTCCCCGAAAAGAAATCGGGAGGTGTGAAAGTAGCCAGGCGGAGGAAAATAGCCTGTTAGAGAAGGGAAGAGCCCAGATCCGTGGCTTTCCTTCCCAAGGGGCCCAGTTTCCATGCCAGGGCTCCCAGAACTGGGGTTGGGAGGTCCTGGGGGAAGGGGTCTGCTGTAAGGTTCCAGGTCCCATGCCCACTTCCCGGCGGGGACCGAGCGGCCAACTGGCATCCTTTCCCCGCTGATCCCCGCCTCCCTTCTCCTTCCAAGAGCCAGACCTGGAGGACTGCAGCTTCCGGTGTCGGGGGACCTCCCCTCAGGAGAGTCTGTCTTCCATGTGAGAGAGGGCGCGGCGGCTGGGGAGGGGCTGGGAGCGAGGCTGGGGGGACACTCTGGGCGGAGGGGTGGGCACCGGGAGAGGGTGGGGTTCAGACGCGGATGGCTGGAACCGCTGAGGAGGGGGGAGAAGGGAGACAGGAATGGGAGGTCAGCCTGAGCCCAGTGTGCCCTTCCGATCCCAGGTCCCCCATCAGCAGCCTCCCCGCACTCTTCGACCAGACGGCGTCCGCACCCTGCGGGGGCGGCCAGGTAGACCCAGCAGCCCCCGGGACGACCAACATGGAGCAGCTGCTGGAGAAGCAGGGCGACGGCGAGGCCGGCGTCAACAGTGAGGAGGGGGGCTCAGGGCCGGGAGGCCTGCCCCAGGACCCCAGACTCGGTCCCCCCTCTCCCTCCCCAAACGTCTCCAAGGTTCTCCGGCCTAGACCCTACCCGGGCTCTAACTCCTGCTAACCTCAGCCTCCCTTTCAGCCCCTTCTGGGCCCTGCACCTGGCGCTGCACCCTCTGCACCCTGCCTTTGGTCCCCCCGGACTCCTAGCCCATACCCTATTAGCCCCGAGTTTTCGCCCGCCCCTTGCCTCCCCGTCACGTGGCCTCAGACCGAGCCCCAGGCCCCGCCGGTGGTCCTCACACCTGGGGTTCCCCAGGCCCCGCCTCTCCGAGCTCACCTGACCCCCTTTCCAGACCACGCCTTCTTCCCGAGGTCCCATTCCGACTCCCCGGTCAGGCCCCGGCCCCGTCCTCTGGCCCCGCCCCCGGCCCTCGCCACGCCCCCGAGCCTCCCGCCCCGGTCCTCCGGCCCCGCCCCTCCGGCGCCCGGCCCCCTGGCCCCGCCCCCGGACCTTGCCACGCCCCCGAGCCTCCCGCCCCGCCCCCGAGCCTCCCGCCCCGGTCCTCCGGCCCCGCCCCCGCCACGCCCCCTCAGGCGCCGGTCCCCTCTCCGCAGTCGTGGAGATGCTGAAGGCGCTGCACGCGCTGCAGAAGGAAAACCAGCGGCTGCAGGAGCAGATCCTGAGCCTGACGGCCAAGAAGGAGCGGCTGCAGATTCTCAACGTGCAGCTCTCCGTGCCCTTCCCCGCCCTGCCCGCCGTCCTGCCCGCCGCCAACGGCCCTGTCCCTGGGCCCTACGGCCTGCCTCCCCCAGGTAAGGGAGCTTCCCCAGCCTGGGAGGGAGGGCCCATGCCGGGCGGCAGGAACTAGCTCCGAGTCCAGGCCTGACCGCCTCCCCTGATCCGCCTCCCTCAGCCGGCAGCAGCGACTCCTTGAGCACCAGCAAGAGCCCTCCCGGGAAGAACAGCCTCGGCCTGGACAACTCGCTGTCCACGTCCTCGGAGGTGGGCCCCCGCGGGCCCCGGGGAGGGGCGGGAGAGGGAGGCGCGAGGGCCTCCTGGCCCCACCCCACCTTGCAGCCATTGGAGGTTGGACAATGGAGTGATTGGCAGAGCAATGAGTTGATGGATCCTTGCATTCCTTCATTAGATAAGTCATAATTATGAGGCTTCTACTTAATGCCAGGCAACTGGCAAAGCAATTAGTGAGCAAAATGGACGCAGCCCTGCTCCTGAAGATAGGCTAAATCCGAGAAAACAGTCAATAATGATAAGCCGGGAGAAATGCTAAAACGGAAATAATTTGAGGGCTGTGAGGAAGAGTGGGGCTTGGGATTCTCTGTGGGCAGAAGTGGGTAGGGAAGGCCTCTGGGAGTGTCTGTGACGGGTTCATTACAGTGCCTCACACACAGAATGCCTGGGTAATTGGCGGCGGTCGGGGCGGCAGTCTCTATTGTTATGTTGTGGTTATTATTGAAATGAAGCAAGCTAGTCTCTTGTTCTCTCTGCCCCTTGCTAACTGAGTGACTTGGGCAGTAATAATCATCATAGTAACTACCGTTAACTGCATGCACATTTGCCCTTCGTCATGTCCTGTGCTGAGATTTTTAAAGCATCAGTTTGTTTAGTCTTCACTCTGGGATAGGTACTGTGTTACCCCCATGTGACGAGTGAGCAAACTGAGGCAGAGACGCCACCCACACCATTGAATTGTGGACACAGGGTTTGAACCCGCGCCTGCCACCCTCGCTGTCTGCAAAGCTCCTTAGTCTGTCTAAGCCTAGGCCATGGGGAGAATGAGAGTGCGGGTCAGGCGCTGAACCCCGAGTCTGGCTTCCTAGAGTCTCCCGGCCGTCACTGGTGTTCAGTGTTAGACAAGGACGGGGGGTGCTGGGCCCCAGGCCGTGGTCTGTGAACGTGGTTTGTGAAGACACTGAGGATGCTTAGCCTTAACCTCTGGGCCTCGCTTCTTCCTCCTGGTGGCTCTGCCTGGGGGTGAGGTGGGGGTGTTGGTGCGCTCTCGGCATGTTGGTGGGTGCTGGGCTGAGGGCCAGAAATGTCACACTGGCCCCCTGCCCCTCTGACCCCTCCCTCTCCCTCCCTCCCTCCCCAGGACCCACACTCAGGCTGCCCCAGCCGCAGCAGCTCGTCGCTGTCCTTCCACAGCACGCCCCCGCCGCTGCCCCTGCTCCAGCAGAGCCCGGCCACGCTGCCCCTGGCCCTGCCCGGAGCCCCCGCCCCACTCCCAGCCCAGCCACAGAACGGGCTGGGCCGAGCAGCGGGGGCAGCGGGGCTGGGGGCGATGCCCATGGCCGAGGGGCTGTTGGGGGGGCTGGCGGGCAGTGGGGCCCTGCCCCTCAATGGGCTCCTGGGGGGGCTGAATGGGGCTGCTGCCCCCAACCCTGCAGGCTTGAGCCAGGCCGGTGGGGCTCCCACGCTGCAGCTGCCAGGCTGTCTCAACAGGTGAGGGGAAGCTCAGCCTGGGGAAGGGGACGGGGAGGCTGGCTATGGGAGGGGTTCCCCCCAAACACCCACAGCCCCCCAAAGGGGAAAATGTCCTCCAATCCTATAGAATCCAGCCACCTCTTGGCCCCAGGTACTCCCTAGATATGAGTTGTGAATGCCCTTTGGATGGCAACTCTCTAGGACCAAGCCGTCTATTTCCTATGCCCCTACCTAGGTCTCCCTCCTGGGGAAGTTCCACCTGACGTACCTCCCGCTGCACTCCCCGAGCTCAGTCTGCCTCTCTCCCCGAGTCTGAGGGAGTCTGGGAACTCGTGGGAGCGGGTGTTTCCCTGTCCCTCCCATGGTCTGTGCTTTGTCCCCTGCCTCAGCCTCACGGAGCAGCAGAGACACCTCCTGCAGCAGCAAGAGCAGCAGCTCCAGCAGCTCCAGCGGCTCCTGGCTTCTCCACAGCTGACCCCGGTACCCCTCCTTTCCTGGCCCCCGCCCCGCTCTGCTGGAGGGGCCGGGCAGAGGGTCTGGGAGGGCGGACAGCGCCAGCCCCTGTGGGCCTGGAGCAGCCTCTAGGAGAGCAGGTTCAGAGGGTGGCAAGTCCTCAGTGACTGAGCATTTCCAGCCCCAGGGGTCTTCAGGGGGCAGCCTCAGAGTGTGTGTGGGGAGGCGGCTGAGCGGGTGGCACCCCTCAGCCAGAGCAGCCCCGTTTGGGTCTGCCTTACATGTTGGGCTCCGCTAAGATTTCCTTCGGGGAAAAGGAGGGAGCTGGAACTATATAAACAATAATCACCTTCACATAAAGAAACATTAGAAAGAGACACAAGAACCCAATTTAGCTGGTCATCTCGGAGGGCCAGATGGGAAAGGTTAGGAGCACAATTTCCCAGGGTAAACCAGGATACACTGTTTTGGTTTTCAGAAAACTCGGAAAATGCTTTGCATTCTCAAAGCAAAAATAAATGAATGTTAAATTTTAAAAAGCAAAGAAGAGGAGGAGTTGAAAACTATTGACCTGGTTTAATGTTTCTCAAGTTGGGGTCTTACCACCCCTAGGGGAATTGGTGGTTGTCATAGTGACTGGGGAGCTGACTTGAGTGGAGCGGGGCCAGGGATGGCAGACACCCGGTGCTTGGCCAGTATTGTCCCACGTGACAGACACTGATAGTGTGCAACCACTTTCTTGTCCCGATGGGGAAACTGAGGCTCAGAGTAGGGAGATAGAGACAGGAGAACCTTGACCCTCTCCTGCCTCCACTGTGATGGGATGGGGCGTGGGCCAAGCAGGGCAAGCCGGCCTTGGGAGCCACCGGCCAGTGAGCGGTCCGGTTTCCTTGCAGGAACACCAGACCGTGGTCTACCAGATGATCCAGCAGATCCAGCAGAAGCGGGAGCTGCAGCGGCTGCAGATGGCCGGGGGCTCCCAGCTGCCCATGGCCAGCCTGCTGGCAGGAAGCTCTGCCCCCCTGCTGTCTGCGGGCACTCCTGGCCTGCTGCCCGCGGCATCCGCCCCACCCCTGCTGCCCGCCGGAGCCCTGGTGGCTCCCTCCCTCGGCAACAACACGAGTCTCATGGCCGCAGCAGCTGCGGCCGCAGCAGCAGTGGCAGCAGCGGGCGGCCCTCCGGTCCTGACTGCTCAAACCAACCCCTTCCTCAGCCTGTCGGGGGCGGACGGCGGCGGCGGCGGCGGCGGCCCCAAAGGAGGGGTGAGTAAGGGGTCTGGGGCTGACCCGTCTTCCTGCTCTGGCATAGGCAGCGTCAGAAGGTCCATCATCGGGTGCATCCTGAGGAGGAGGAGGAGGAAGTGACCCCTAGGTCAGCAAAGCCCCTGCTCCAGACCCCAGGCCTCTGCAGGCACCTGCGTTCCATCCTGGGACCCAAGAAAGAGGCCCTCTGAGCATCACTGATGGCGAAAGCGCCAGTTAGGAAGCAGCATTCCTCTGGGAAGGCCAATTAGGAAGGCATTTCCTCCCTGAGTAGGAGGAGATGGTGCTCTGGGCGGGTCTTTCTGGAAATGCCCACTTTATGCCGCTCTGAGGGCATAGACAGCACAGGGCGCTGGCTTTGGCTGGAGCATGCCCGCTTAGCCAGGCGCCCTTGTGCAGAGCACACTCCCCTCCCGCCCCCACACACCACACACGCACACGCACACACAACATGTTGTTGTCTTGGATGTGTGCCCATCAGAGCCCACGTCAGGAACGAGCTGGGCACCCTCCCTGCACCTTTCAAAAGCTCCCTTCACCCAAAGAGCTGTTCTCAGCTGGGTGTTAGGAGCAAACGCCTCCCTTCCTCTCTTTCCAGACCGCTGACAAAGGAGCCTCAGCCAACCAGGAAAAAGGCTAACTCCGTCCACACCCCTCCTGACCCCCAAAGCGGAGGGGGCAGTCCCGGCTTGAGGGGGTCCTAGCCTGGAGCAGGCACCTGCGCCCCGATCCTGGAGAGCCCCAGCCCAGAGCACACTCGCGTGCGCGCGCTGAGACCTGGCGAGTGTGGGTGCGCCTGGTGCTGGGGACTGAGCCCTAAGGGGGAGCGCCTTCTCTCTGGCCTCTCTCCCCTCTGCAGAGACCCGCGGTGAGGGGCTCTGAGGGAGGACGGCTCCACGCTGACCTAGGAGCCAAGGCCTTGAGGTCGTCCAGGGAGCAGAGTGGGCCGTGGCATCGGTGGGGGGTTGGCTGGACCCGCCACATAAAACGGATCAGCACTTGTGTGGGGTGGGTCCCGGGCCTGGCCCCTGCGCAGAACCTGCTAAGGAGGAAGGGGTGGCCCTGCTGTACCTGCAGCTTCCACCCAGCACGGGCAGATGGCAGGAGGGTTCCTTAGGCCGTTTGTCCCCCTGCCCCCCAACAAGGGTCACAAGCTGAGCTTGTAAAAGCCCTCAGACGGGGAGGCTGAGGCAGGGGCAGGATGGCCCTAACTCAGCCCCAGCCTCCCCACCTCTGGGGGAAGCCCAGGGATGGGGGGAGGCCCAGCCCCCCGGCTGCCTGCCCCTTTTTGCACTATTGGATATTGGATTTAGGAGTGCCGAGGGTGGGGAGATGGAGCTAGCTGCGTGTGTGCGTGTGCGTGTGTGTGTGTACATGTGTATGTCTGTCTCCCTCGACCTGGGGCAGCCAAGGACAGGGATAGGAGCAGTTCTCAGAAGGGGGCTCCCAGCTCTTGTTTGCACCCTCACCAACTTTGGTCCCTTTCTGGGGCATGACTGGTTAACAAAAATCAGGACAGAACTCCGATATTGGAGAGTGACAGGGGGCTGAGGGCTTTGAATCAGGGTAAATCCTGCCTTCCCTTCCCCGGACCCCTCAGAGCGCCCCTCCCTTCACCTGCTCCCCTGGCACAAGGGGAGCCCCAGGGATTGGGGGACAGAGCAAGGGGGGGGGGGTCCACTTCCTTTGATGAAGACCTTCCCCCCAGAATAAGCCAGCCTACTTCCTGCACCGTACCGCCACCTCCACCAACCAGGGGAGACTTAGCTTACACTGACCTAGCAGCCGTCCCTCCACCCACCAGCTCTTTCCCCTCGGGGTATAGTGGGCTTAGATTCTCACCTTACCAAGCCCCACCTGCCCAGAGCCTTTGGTGGCAAAGGCCTGGGAGCCAGGGGGACGGCCGGGAGAGGGTGAGGTTGAAGCCTGTGTCTGTGTCAGTTGCACTGGGGTTGGAGCCAGGAGAAGGCATGTCCAGCTTCCCCTGACGCTCACGTCTGGTCCGTCTCTTTGCATGTGGGGATGTGTGTGTGTGTGTGTGTGTGTGTGTGTGTGTGTGATTGTTCCTGTTTGGGTTTTTGTTGTTGGTTTTTTTTTTTAATAAAGAAAAGAAGATGTGTATATTTTTGGCAATGACAGAAACGTAGTGCAGATATATTTTTGCCTGTGCTGCTCAACTGGTCTTTTTCTGATACTGAAAATAATATTAATATTACTGTTGATGAGACTTTGTCATATGTTAGGGAGCTGATCGTGGAGGGGGTGGGTGGGGAATCCGTCCAAGGCAATTTCTTAGGCCCTTGCGAGGGCTTGGGGGGGGAGAGGCGGCCGTTGTGATGACCTCAGAAATACTCACTTTTTATTAATGCTAAATATCAGTTAGCAATGGTAGAACTCAGCATCATATTAATCTTCACCTATGACGCTGTCTTGCTCCTGCCCCCAAATCACTGAAAAGAGGGAGTTGTTCACTCATACTCCTCACCCAAGGCCAGTCCACTGAGAGCTGGTCAACTTCTGTTCTGGACGGCGAGGGGATAAGGCCCCCCCCCCAAACGCTGCCCCCCAAGGCTGCCGTGGGGGGGAGAGGGCCGCATGACTTAGTGCACTGGAACCACGGCCGCCTCCCCCCCTCCCGGCACCCAGGGATCTGTTTCCCAGCCCCCCCAGGTGGGCGCAGCAGCAGGGAGTCAGGTCAGGTGTGAGGGTGGGACCCAGGCTGGGTGAGCATTGGTGCTGTCCCCCGATTGGGGATGGGAAAGGCAGGAGAGAGGTGGTCCGTGTTCACCTTTCAGGAGCTTTATCCTAAGAAAGGTCTAGAGATCATCAGGATGGAGCAGGGTCCCCATGTGGTGGGGGGAGGGGGAATGGTTCTACCGACCTGACTGACCCTCCCAGACCCGGCCCTTTTCCCAGGGAATTTGGATGGGGCCTGGGAAGGGGTGCAGATTGGTAGAGCGCTCTGTCTAGGGAGGGGAAGGATGTGGTTTGCAGGGCGGAAGTGGCGTTCTGAAAATGCATGCAGGAGCTCCGTGGAGGTGTGAGTGAGGTGTGCGTGCAGGGCCACACCGGTGCGTGAGTGTCAGAACTGGAAGGGACCCGTCTGCAGGGGTCATTTGAGCCAGATCCTCACTCCAAAGGTGATGGATACCTCCGAGCCCAGGACGGGCAGGAGCTCTGGCAGAGCCGGGACCAGCCCTCAGGACACTGGCCTCCTGGCCCTCCCACCTCCCCCTCCTCCGCACCACCCCCACGCGGCTTCCTGGCTGTCCTAGTGTGTGTGAGTGCGGGGCTGTGCTGGGGGGGCGGGGGCGGGCGGCGGGAAGGGGGTAATCTGTGTAGCACTGACTGTTTTAGCTCAGAGCTGATGGATCCTCTCGTGGACGTGACACTTTAACGGTTGCTTTTGAAAAGGTTTTCCTGTGCGAGTCTTCCCCCTCAGGCTCACGGGCCTGCTGCTCCCTCCAGGTGCCCTCACCTTGAGGCTGATGAGAGCGCCCCCGCCCCCCATTCCTGTTCTGAGTTCCCGGGGAAGTCTTCCTAGGAAGAGCCCAGACACGTGAGGGGCCTGCTCTGAGGAAGGGCCATCTCCACACTCCTCTTTCCCAAGCTAGAATGCAGACAAGTTTTCCAGGCTCGGCCTCTTCCTGCCAGCTTCCAGCACCTTCCTTGGTGTGCGGTAGGCCAGAGTTGGGGGCAGGCAGCTCACTTTATCCCAGCTTACCTTCCTGGGGAGAGGGTGCTGGGGGGGTTTAAGTCCCTCCCGTTGGGAAGCTGGGACCCAGCACCCCGACGCCCCACAGCCACACCCCCGGATTGCAAGCGTCTAGCTCCTGACCGCTCTGACTTGATCTACTGAGAAGCCGGGGACTGAGGGGTGCCGGCATTGCCCTTCGTTTGCTTCCTCCAGCCCAACGTGGGGCTTCGGTGGCAGGACCCCAAACCCAAACCTTGACCCCCCGCACCCCCACTCCACCCCAGCCTCAGCCTGTCTCAATGTAGCAGACCCTTCCTGGGGGAGCGGGAAGGGGAAGCCATGGTTTGCAAACCCAGGGCTCCTTTTGCATTCTTTCTAAAACCTTTCTATTCTCACCCCAAAAGGCAATGCCCCACCCCGCCCCCCCAACACCCGCCACCTCCAGGCCTGGAATTGTGCATAACCCGGCTCTTGTATCTTTGTATAACGGATGTTATTTGTACGAAGGGCAGTTCGTAAACAGCACTTGTTCTTTTAATAAAAGAATGTTTTACAAAAAAAAAAAAAAAAAAAAAACCTCCAAAAAGACCCTGCTTTGTCTGGCTTTGTGGAAGGGAAAGGGAGGTGGGAGCCTTGGGGTTGGGGGGCAGGGTGTGTCCCAGTTCCTAAAGCGCTCGGAGTAACGGTGCGCCAGAGGCTGCAGGGTGAGCATTCAGGAGTACCTGCGGGGGGTGTGATGTGGGGGCCGGGCTGCTGGAGTCCAATCACCAGCTCCTGAGGCGGCGCCCCGCCCTGGTAGAAACGCTGCCAGCCCCGGCGGAGAAAACGGCTCCCGGGGTACCGGCTCCCCGCCCGCGGGGGGGAGGGAACGAAAGGCGATGCCCCGGTCACCCCGCAGACTCGGGGGGACCAGAGGCCGCGGGGACAGCCGGTCCGCACCCCAGGGGCCCGGGGAGGCCGCGGCCCCGCACTGGGCTCGGCTCCCGCGGTTGGGCCGGACCGGACCGCGCGGAGCTCCTCCGGCCCCGCCCGCGCGGAACCCCGCGGCGTCTTCCGGCCGAGGCGGGGCGGGGCGGGCCGGGCGGAGGGGCGGAGGGAGCGGGAGGTGACCCGGCGGCGTGCGGCGAGGCCCGGCATGGGTGCCGTGGGCGCGCTGCTGCGGCCGGCGGCCTGGGTGAGCATCCCCCGCCGCCCTGCCCGCCCCCTCCCGCCCCCAGGCCCCCCGCCCGCCGGCCCCCGGCCCAGCCCCCGGCGCCTGCTGCAGGCGGGCACCTCCCGGCCTCTCCTTCCTGCCTGGTGATCCCCCCTCTTACCCTCTCCCTTCTCCTCCATCCATAGCGGCCATCTCTTCCTCCCCAGATGACCCCCTCCGGACGCCTTCCGCTTCCCACTGACTTTGTTTTTCTGTTTCCAAATCACTGTATGGCGATGACGACGCGCCTCGCAGAAGCTGAACCAGAGGCGTGACATCTCCTCCTGGCTGGTACGTACCTCCAGTTTCCCCTTCTCTCTCTCTGCCCAGGCCCCCCAGGCCCGGAGACCCCAAAGGCAGAGGCCGGGGAAGGCAACCAGGAAGTCAGCCCTGCCTCTGGGTCCAGCCTGCCACCGCCTCGCCTGCAGCCACCTCCGGGGAGGCAGGCTGGACCAGAGGGCACCGGGCAGGGAGCCAGCGATGCCCGATAAACCAAGCCCCAGGTGCCCTGGCGTCTTAGGCTGGCAGGATCCCAGCCCGCCCCTCCCTAGCTCCAGGGTGGAGCCAGGGTTTTTCAGAGGAAGCAGCTGGGTCTCCAACCCTGAATGCCTGCATGGCCTCCAATCTTTCCTGCCTGGAGCTCAGGGCACTTATGGTGTCTTGGGAGGGGGGAGAAGGGGGAGGAGGTGTCCTTGCTGGGTGTCATCACAGGGGAAGCCCGCCACAAGCCAGAGCCAGTGGGACACGGCCGCCATAGGCAAGGAAGTGCTTCCAGGACCTGGGCTGACCCCAAGCCCCTCCTCTTCCCTGCCACAGGCCAAATGGTTCCCCAAAGCCCCAGCCAAGTCTGTGGTGGCCCTGAAAACGCCCATCAAGGTGGAACTGGTGGCGGGGAAAACCTACAGGTGGTGCGTGTGTGGCCGCAGCAAGAAGCAGGTGAGAGGCGCGCGTGCACACACACACACACACACACACTCTCACACGCCTTTGACACATGACACCCAGGTAGGAACGCAGGGTGTGTCCCGAGCGCTCCCTCTCGGGAAGAAACACTCCGGCTGGCGCACCCATAGCCTTGAGCTGCGTCCGAATCAACTCTTTGAGCTGAGTCCCAGATACAGACACTGTCACACAGCCAGGCGGGTGGGACCCAGGCTTCTGGTTTTTGTTGGTTTACATTTCATTTGTTTTTATTTTAGATGGTAAGCATCTTTAATGTGGAAAGTGTAGCATGTCCCATCCCACCCCCCCAAACACTGACCTCTTCTACCCCCCCCCCCAGCCCAGGGTTCTGGACTTTGCTTCAGGGGCTCCCTTCTCAGAGGCTCATTCCAGGCTCTGCTCTAAGCACAGGAGCTTGCCTGTCTCTCTCTTCCTCTCTCCTTGCTCCTAAGAAGCATTGGGGCCAAAGGTTCCCAGCCCCGTGACCCCATCCTAGAGGAGACAGCCCAGCTTTGTGGCCCCCCTCCCCCCAGCGTCCCTTCCCGGTCTCCTGAAAACCCTTCCCTTCCTGTTCATCTGACTTTCCCGGTTGCAGGCCCGCAGCCTGGCTGCCTGCTCCCTTCCGCCCCCGGAGCCTCTCATCCAGAGGCACCTGGTCCACGTCCTTAGCCTCCAGGCCCCTTTCCTTCCTGCGCTGAGCTGTGTTCCTCCAAGCGGTGTGGCTGGTGTCGGCAGCCTGCGTGGCCACTGGTCTGATTTGGAGCAGGGCTAAGGGAACAGTGTCAGCTGGGGAGAGGCTGACTCTCATTAGCTAGTTTCCCTCCGCTCTCCGCCTACCCCACCCTGGCCCCAGAGGCCCACCAGTAGCAGGTCACAGCACCTCGGTGGGCCTCGGTTTCCGTTACCCAGTTCTGCTGAGCACCTGCTGGGATGGCTGAGAAGCGTGTGCTGGCACCAGCAGCCAGTTCCCTGTAGGACATCCCCTTCCTCCGTTACACCCACTCCCTATAAATGCCCAATGGTTTCCTGGAGCCAAAAATCCGATACCCCAGTCTGAAAGCCCTGGGATGCGTGGAGGCTCTCTCCAACCCCGTCTTCACCAGTGTGGGGAGAGAAATGAATGCAGCGAACCAGTGGAGACTGGGCCATTAAAACAACAACAAACTGCTGGTGTAAAACCTAAGGCCCCGTTTCACCTTGGAAAGTCTCTCCTTGTGCCCTTGAGACTAATGCTGTAATGACAAACTTCCTGCACACTTGCTGTATGCAAATAATAAATTATTATCCTTCCCTTAGGATATAACAACTCAACTCTTACTGTCCTCACATTACAAATGAGAGGTAAACTCGTGTCCCTCGGGAGTCTGAGCCCTAACCACTGTGCTCTGCCCGTCCCAGACCTGCCCAGCACATCAGGGGGGCCAGCTCTCCTCACTTCTCTTTCCCTCACCAGCCCTTCTGTGACGGCTCCCACTTCTTCCAACGCACCGGCCTCTCTCCGCTCAAGTTCAAAGCCCAGGAGACCCGGATGGTGGCCCTGTGTACCTGCAAGGCCACCCAGAAGCCCCCGTACTGCGACGGCACCCACAGGAGCGAGAGGGTGCAGAAGGCAGAAGTGGGCTCCCCACTCTGAGGGCCGGCTGCTCATCAGCCCCAGGTCTCCCTGACAGGGAAGGAAAGCGCCCGCCGAGCCCAGAAGTGATCACCCAGGGACCCCAGTAACCCCTGGCTTATAAAGGACTTGCTCCCACAACCTGAGGTCTCTCACCTAGGGCAGCCAGGAGCAAGTGCCAGGTTTAGCACCTGCTGGTGGAGAAGGTGGCATTAAACAAGCCTGCCCATCCAGAATGGTATTCTTGTGGTCACTGGTGAGGCACAGGGAATACCCCTGCTCTGACTCCTAACCCTGGTCTGGGGGCACCAGACTGGCCCTAGGATAGAGGCCATTCCGGTGTATTCCATATGGGGCCTCCCAAGGCAGGCTGAGCCACACACGAGCGGTACAAGGAGGAGGAGGCCTGGGGACCCCCCCCATCCTCCCCCGGTCCCCTCTGCCCCAAAGAACTAGAGGCGCTGGAGAATATGCAGCATTTATTACAAAGCCAGGAGATGCAAATGTCCCAGGGCAGGAGGAGGGTACAGTCATGGCACCTCAGACAACGGACAAGGCGCAAACACAGACAAACCCGCTGGGGGGACCCAACCCCGGACACCTCGGTTGTGACAGGGTCTTACCCCGATCTGACCTATGTACACGGGAAGAAAACGGTAGGCAGGGAGCTATGGGGGCCTGCCCCTCAGGGGTGGCCCACTGACCCCTCAGGATGGAGTTGTGGACAGAGCTTACGGGTGTCTGTCTTGTGCTTTCAGCTGCCCCTGAGGCCCTTTCCTGCCTGGGCCTCCGCTGGGGGTGGGGCGAGGACTGGAGGGCTGTTTGCCTTGAGCAAAACCTGGGGTCTGTGCTTGTCTGAGGTTAATCCCACTCCACCTCTCCACTCCAGGTCCCCAGGCTTGCTGATGGGGGTTCCTGGGCGGGGCTCGGGGCACACGGGGGTGAAGTGGTTCACAATGCTAGAGCCACAGTGGGACTTCAAGGGCGGAGGCCTCCCGTGGCCTGAATCTTCTCCTCCACAAGGAAAATGATGCGAAGGCCACACACACAGGGGGAAAAAAAAAAAAAAAAGACAAACAGAAGGGCAGAACTATCTATGCTTTGCACAGAGTTTCCACTGCCAGAGGAGGAGGTGAGGCCGATACCATCTCCACCGCCCACTCGCTCCCCAAAACCAGGGGATACACTGCATTGGGAAAAGGCACTGTCTTAGCAAGTCTGCACATTCCACACGAGGGGCTGGGGGGCTGGCCGGGTTGGGGCAGGACAGCAGCCAAGATGGGGGGGAGAGGGAGAGAGAGGATGGACCCACACACAGCCAGTCAGAGTTGTGCCTAAAGCTTTGGGGGCTGGGGGGCCCTGTAACACCCCCTCAGCCTTGGGAAATAGGAGGAGGATGGGGCAAAGCGTCCCAGCAGCCCCTCCAGTCCACTCTCAGGCACCCCCAAGAACAGAATAGAGCAAATTACACAAGACCCCTTCGAAATGAACCCCCGTCCCCTACACATACACACACACATAAAGTTTGTTTCCTGTGGCATTTAAATTAATCTGGTTGGTCCATAGAAAATATGTATATTTGTTTTTTTCCTATGTACATATGTATATATATATATATATATGAGAGATTTATTTATAAAACCCACCCCCCACCCCTAAGGTGGGAGGAGCTGGGGGAAAGGAGAAGAGGTGGAAACAGAAGCCCAGAAAAAGTGGAGGGGTGGAGAGGCGCGGCTGGAAAAGGAGGGAAAGGTCCCTTTCCTCAAATTAAGGGGGCCACGGGAGCTCCATTGACAGTCATCTTGCGCCCCCTGCTGGTGGAGGACGGTGCCTGCAGGCAGTTCGAGGCGCCCCCGTTGGTAGCTGTGCTGACCCCACTGGCCACTGAAGGGGGAGTGGGGGAGGTAGGATGGGTGGCTGGGGGCCCATGGGAGCTGGGAGAGCCATGGGAGGGGGTGGCCGGGCTGGGCAGGGAGGAGGAGGTGGCCGGCAGGGTGGCGGGGCTGGGAGCCTTGTCGCTGACTGACTCACACTCTGATGCCCCACTGGTGTTGGTGCCCTCAGAGGGGGTGGGCGCCGTAGGCAAGGTGAGCCGCTTGCAGGCTGGCTGGACCCGGTACTTGAGGGGGAGAGGGCCATTCTGCAGGGAGAGTTGGGGGGGAGAGAGGCTAACCAGGCAGCCCCCCACCTTCACCCCGTCATGCCCCAAGAGGGAGGAAGGAAAAGCTTGAGCCCTAGAGAGAAAGACCCAGCAGAGTAGGAGGACCTAGGCATAGCGACGGAGAGAGCCGGGCCGGAGAGCCGGGCACACAGACCCAGAGAGCACTGTGTGGGACCGGAGGCTGGAGAGAGGAGAGGGAGGCCAAGGAGCAGGAAACAACATTCACTCCTCCACGGCCACCAGGCCCTCCTGCTTGACCCCACATGGGGGCACGCCATCTGCCCAAAGAGCCTTCTTTCCTGAGTGGGGGGGCTCCGGTAGAGAGAGAGAGAGAGAGGGAGAGAGAGAGAGCCAGCCCGAGGCGGGCCGGCCTGCACAAGGTCAGCTCATGGGACAAAGGTGCGTTGTCATGGTTAGAGCAGGTGCCCACTCGGCCCAGTGGGCACAGACCCATGCCAGCCCTGCGGGGCCCCCAGCCCTGCTCACCCGCCGCCAGGGGTAGATGTAGGCGATGTCCATGAGGGTGTAGTACTCCTTCAGCGGCTCGTCCTCGTACAGGACTTCCACCTGGAGGGGGGCGGACACCGCGCACGGGAAGGGCCCAGGTGAGGAGGATCCGGGAGCCCGGCTCTCACCCGGCCGCACAGAGCCGTCAGCAGGGAGCTTTGGACAATGCCAGGGCTCCGCCCTAGAGGTTCTGTCCAGCTGGTAAGATAGGAGCTGAGTTTGAAAGCTCCCCCACGCGATGCTGACGTAAAGTTTGGGACCCACCGTCCTAGACCCAGATACTCGGCGTGCGCTCCGCAGGCCAGCGGCATTGGCAGCACCTGAGAGCTTGCTGGGAAAGCAGAATCCGCGGAATCAATCTGCCTTTTAACAAGCTCTCTAAGGGCTCACAGGCTCATGCAAGTTTAAGAAGCAATGCCCCCAGCCGACACCGGTTTGGCTCGGCGGATAGAGCGTCGGCCTGCAGACTGAGGGGTCCCGGGTTCGGTTCCGGTCAGGGGCATGTGCCTTGGTTGCGAGCACATCCCCAGGAATGGGTGTGCAAGAGGTAGCTGATTGATGATTCTCTCTCATCGATGTTTCTGACTGTCTATCCCTCTCTCTTCCTCTCTGTGAAAAATCAATAAAATATACTTAAAAAGAAAAAGCTTTGTTTAAAAAAAAAGAAGCAGCAGCAGCAGCAATGCCCTGGAGTTCTGTTGGCCAGGACTTCCTTCAGCCAGCTGGCCCCAGATGAGACCCCGTGTTTTTTACATGCGTGCGTGCACGTGCGCACACACACACACACACACTCCCCACCTCTTTCCCATGCTGCCTGCCTGCACACTGGTTTCACCAGCTGCAGACAGCCCCGCCCTAATCCTGGTTTCAATTACCTGTCTGCTTGGGCTCCATTACACAACCCAGCAGGCCTGGGTGACACCCGCCTGCCCTGAACAATGGCCGGGCTGCACACTGTCAGGCACACCCCGCAGACACTCCCTTTCCCAAAGGGCCCGGGACGCACCTTGTACTTGCTGGGCACGTCCATCTTATTGCGGAGAAACTTGGCGAGATGCATGACGGTCATGGCTGCTGGGCACCGCAGGAAGCGCACCCCTGTCTGCCAGAGGAGAGGCACCCAGGGCTGTGGCCACCCAGGCCCTCTCTCCCGGCCCACAGCCCACGCCCGGGCAGGCCCCGGCACTCACCTTCTCCTTGTCCCCGTCTCCATTCTCCAAGGGGCCCTTCTTCTCCTCCCGATCCCTGGGGGGGGCGGGGGGGGGGGAGGTGGAATGAAGCCAGGGAGACCCTGGTTCAGGCAGGCTTCCCCAGCACACACGTCCAGCAGGCCCTCCCCTCCAGGGGAATGGGGCTGGGTGGGAGAAGGGGGCGACCCGGCCCAGGACCCCAGAAGGACCAGGCACAGGACAGACTTGCCTGACAGCTTCGTAGAACTCGATGGAGAGGCTGACAATCTCGTCATCGCTCAGAGCCCCCTTCTCCTGCTCCAGGACCTCCCCGCGGTCCTCGTTGGAGCCGTTGGGGACTGCAAGAGGAGAAAACGGGGGCTGCCTAGGATGGGGGAGGGAGCCCCACCACAGACCCCGAATCTCAGCGCTCAGGGGGGTGAGCCCAGCCGTCCTCCGAGCCAAGGAGAGGGCGTGTTCGTGCATGAAGGACGGACGGACAGCCCAGCGCACCCGGCCCTCACGCCTGGGCAGAGCCGCCCACTGGCACGGCCCTGAGGGGTCCCGGGTTCGATTCCGGGAGCGCACACATGGCCTCACCTTCCGTCAGGGGGTAGGCCGCATAGAAATCCCGCCGTCGCTTCATCTCATCTGAAGGCGGGAAGGAAGCAGGGTGAGGAGGGGGCAGCAGGCTGGGGAGAGGGGGCTGGGGCGCAGGAGGAGGGAGGGTGTGTGGATACCTTTAAAAAGCCCCGGGACCAGTTTGTAGACGATGTCTTGGAGGGTCTTGTCAGATCTGGGGAAAAACACACGGGAGCCTATCAACAACCCTCCGACCCCGCCCTCCAGCCAGGGACCCCGCTCTCACCTCCCTTCCTCAGACTCGGGGCCTGGACTCTGCCCCTCCACTGCTCAGCTGGACACAACCCCGAGGGAGGGAAGAGGCCCAGGGCTTCCCCCCCACCCCCCGCCACGACCTGCCACCTTGGCCACAGGAGCCAGGAGGGCTGAGGGGCTGGCGGGGCGGGGCCAGGCCCACCTGATGCTCAGCAGCGGCCGGGTTTTGTGGACCTGCACGTCACACATGGGGCAGTACTTGTTGGTCTCCAGGTAGCGCACGATGCAGGTTTTGCAGACTTGGGGGACACGGAGAGAGGGAGGAGTCAGAGCCCCCCTGGTAACCAGGCCCAGCCCCCCGCCCCTCTGTCCAGGTTCAGGACCCCCTTCTCCGCCTTGGCTGGCGGTCTGGGCCGTGCAGAGGGCCAGCGCGGGCCTGTCCTCAGAGGGGGCACCTGCCCATGTCCGTCCTCGGGAGAGGACCATCTGTGTGTCTGCGTGTGTGATCAGGCCAGTGTCGTGTGCCACGGATACGGTGAGCCCACGTCCCAAGCTGCCCTCATGGAGGACAAACAACAGCTAGCCTGCTGCCCCTCTCCTGGGTCCTCGGCCTTTACCCCCCGAGGCCACAGGGCACACGGGGGGCAGCTGCGCTTCAGGGGGTGACAGATGAGAGTCTGTGGGAGAACTCGGGGTCTACACCTCCAGCCTCCCCTCCCAGGCAGCCTCTCTGTGACCCGGGGACCCCACCAGTCAGAGGCAGGGTCTGTGCTCCCCCGCCCCCGTCCAGCCTAGGCCGAAGCAGCCCCTCCGCCGCTCACAGGAATGCAGGCACTCCACGATGGTGGTGGCGTCGATGAAGTAGCCCCCGCAGAGGGCACACATGAGGTGAGGGTTCAGCTCCGTGATTTTGATGCGTGTGGTCCGATGCATGATGCCAGGGAGGGGGCCGGGGGCCGGGGAGCCTCACCCTGGGAAGTGAAAGTGGAATTAGAAACGCAAAGACCCAGCATCCTCTCTGAGGCCTCGGACGCGAGGCAGGAAGGGTCCGGTCCCTTTGGGCGCCCTCTGAGTGTTCCCTGGGTGCCGGCCGCTATGGACAGTCACCCCACTTTGAGCAACAAGACCAGCGCCACCTCGGGAGCAGCGGGAAGGACAGAGGCTGGACCACAGGAAGTACGGCCCAACTTCCCAAAGGATGTGGAAGGCAGGAACGTGGAAGAGAACAGACTTTTAAAATAGCTCCGTAATCCCAGTTCAAGCGAGAGCTGGGAGCTAGGAGGAGAATCAGATAAGCCAGACCCCCAGAAAATAAGAGGAGAGAAAGAGTAGGCTGTCCCTGCCCCTTCGCCCCCTCCAGCTGCAAGGCTGCAGACTTGGGTCTTTCTACTCCGTGCCACCCTCCTCCCCTCCCATCTGCGCCTCCTCCACGCAGCTTCGGTGTGGAGGGGCACCCCATCGCTGTCCTCTGGCTCTGCACCCAGCTCCGGCCCCAGAGCAGCAGCCTGGGCGTCACCTGGCCACGCAGGTCCCAGGCCTCACGCTCACGCAAGAAATACTGAGGAACGCCGAAACCGGTGTGGCTCAGTGAATAGGGCATTGGCCTGCGGACTGGAAGGTCCCAGGTTCGATTCCGGTCAGGGGCATGTACCTTGGTTGTGGGCACATCCCCAGTGGGGGGTGGGGGATGTGCAGGAGGCAGCTGATCGATATTCTCTCTCATCGATGTTTCTAACTCTCTATCCCTCTCCCTTTCTCTCTGTAAAAAAATCAATAAAATACATTAAAAAAAAAAATACCGAGGCAACCAAGACCGGTTTGGCTCAGTGGATAGAGCGTCAGCCTGCGGGCTGAAAGGTCCCAGGTTCGATTCCGGTCAAGGGCATGTACCTTGGTTGCGGGCACATCCCTGGTGGGGGGTGTGCAAGAGGCAGCTAATCGATGATTCTCTCTCATCGATGTTTCTTACTCTCTTTCCCTCTCCCTTCCTCTCTGTAAAAAATCAATAAAATGCATTAAAAAAAAAAAATGAGGTACACGCCGCTCCACCTGTGCCCGCAAGCACACACCTCCAGGACCCCCGTCCCAGGCACACACAGTAACGTCTCCTCGTGGGCACTGCCACCCACCATCTCCCACCTGGTGACGCCTCCTCTGCAACCTGCCACAGACCGTCCAACCACAGGCCACAGGCCCGCAGCTGCTGGCCAAGGCTGGGCAGAGTTCCCTGTCCCCGGCCACCTGAGCGCCCAGCCAGGCTCTGGCAGGGCCCGGGAGGTCAGGCCAAGCCCAGATCTGGCTTGGCTGATGTCCTTACTTCTTGATAAAAAAAAAATAATAATAATAAAAATAAATCACAGCTGCACAGAGAAGGGACGGCCCCTCCCGTCTTCCTCTTTCCCAGAGTGGAAGCCCAAGGGGTGGGGCTTGAGCGAGAGGCCAAGTCCCAACTGCTCCTTCCCAACACACACCGTCCTCTCCTCCCCAGAGCGTTTCCAAAGACCCGCATGGGGCTTTCCAGGACCAGAAATTCACAGCCGGGAGCAGCAGTTTCTATAGAGACCCCAGGATGAGTTTGGCCGGGACCCAAGCAGCCAACAGAGGCTGGCCAGAGACCGAGAGAGACGGAGAGACACAAAGGCCGCACGTGGGAGAGACCCCAGCGAGCGGGGCAGACAGAGCGGGACAAGCCAGCCAGCCCGGAGAGCCAGCAGGAAGGCGGCGGCCAGCCCCGCAGGCCCAGCCCGAGGAAAGCGGTTCTGGCCACACACACAGGGTGGGCTCCTTCTGCCTTCCCTGCACGGGTTCCCCCTTCACAATGAGGTAGCCGCCTCGCTACGGACTCCGCTGTTTGGTGGTTTCCATGGTAACTCCGTCCCTGGCTAGATGCCCAAATATTATTACAACCATCGGGGGGAAGAACAAACTCCAAGCGGCCGTCTCGCTGGGCGCGTGTAATATCAGACACATACGTGCTGTCTGGGCCGTGTCCGTGTCCGTGTCCCAGGGAATCTGTGTGCGTGCCCGGGCAGCAGCAAAACGTCCTGGGCTCTGATCGTGCTGGGGGTCCGGGCTGCTATCAGTGAACGTCATGCCCCCTTCTCTTTCCCTCACATGCACACGTACACACACACATAGCGCTTCGCACGGCCTTGGCCGCCTCATTCGCACACTTGTGTTTGCAGACACTTGCTGCTAAGAATTCCCACCTCGCTGCTGCCAAGCAGACTATGGCCTCCACACACAGGAGCTCCCGGGCACCTGGCCATCACCCTCCCCCTCCCCCTCCTACGAGCATTTGTGAGCCTCCAGACCCAGAGAATCCCTCAAGGTCCTTCCTAGATGTGCCAGCGAAGGAAGGCGCTGCGGTGCTTACAGAGGAATGACATGCTCCTGCATCTCCCGTGAAGGAAATGAGCCCCCTTGTGACTCTCCTCGCTCCACCCCATCCCCAGAACCTCCGATTGCTACCTCCGGGGCTGGGGAGAAGCCAGGATTGGCTCCTCACCTGATTGCCATGGTTACCTGTCCCCCCAAGGACCTCCTCCCCTTCTCATCCCCCCCACCAGGAAGCCTCAGGGCCCTACAACTGACACCCAGTTCCTCCCCAGCGGCACCTGGCTGGTGTGTGGTGAGAAGCAGAAGGAGGAAGGGTGATAGGGGGCTGGACCGTCAGCAGCGTCACTTTAAGAAAACGGCTGGGAGATGGGACTAGCCCAAGGGGAACAGAGAAGGAGAGACAGATCCAAGAAGCAGAAAAGGGAAACAGGTCAGCCCCAACCACATCCCCACAGGGGACCCGAGTGCCATCACCCACCCCAATGCCTTCCCCCAACCGGGGGCCAGGCCCCTCCCTCAGTGCCTCCTGTCCCCGCACCAACCACTGACTGCACAGGCACAACAGCGGGGGCCTGGGGGCCCAGGTCTCGGCAGGAAAGGAGACGGATCAGCACCCAGTTCCCACTCCTCCTCGCCATCAAGCCCGGCATTTGTCTCTCCACATCCTCAAAGTCCCCTGCCAATAAAGACCACCCTGCAGCTCTTTGTTTTAACCTCGCTCTTTCCGGAAGCTCCCCCGAGATTTAGGCCTCTCTTGCCGTCAGTTTTTGTCTTGTTGTGTTGTTCTCTCCCTCCCCCCCACTTTCCCCAGCAGAGAGAGCCGATCTCTGACAACCCAGCGGCCCCTCGGCTCCTCTGGATGCACAGGGCAGCATCCTTTGCTCTTCCTTTCCTCCCAACGAAATTAGCCCGGCTCCCTCCCCAGAAAGCCTCCAGGTCTTGGGAAAAGTCACTCAAGGTCACACATGCAGACGTCTAGAATCGCAGAGGAAGCATGTTGTCCGTCATGTCATTTCACAGACGAAGAAACTCAGAAGGAAGGGGCTTGCCTGAGGGTTACACGGCGGCGGTTCAAGGACGAAAACTGCCTGTGCTCTTTGCACAGTGCTCTTTGCACACTGGCCCTATTCCACCCAGGACGGGGGAAAGCAGGACTCCACGTTCCCTGGGAGACAGACCACTCGGTGAGCCCTTAGGAGGGGGCCAATGTCTGGCCAACCAGCAAGCGTGCTGACCTAGAAGTACGAAGAGGGCGCAGAGCATCCCGCGCCCGTGGTACAGATGGGGAAGCTGAGGCTGTCCAGAAGCACAGTGAGCCAGAGCGTACTGTCAAGTCTCAGACCGTGGGACCCACGAGTCCTTTCCTCTCCCAATGGCATAGGTGCCACTGCGTGAGACCCAAGGATTTGGGAGGAACACGGGCAGTCCAGTCCACCTGGGAGCACCGTCCGCCTCTCAGGCTTCCCTTCCAACGTCTCCCCCACCGGCTGCTAGCCTCCCGGTGCTGGGCTCACCCCGTTCTCTCTCCCTGCCCCACCTCCTGGCTTCCGAAGATCAAACAAAGACAAAAACCCAAAATATAACACACACAGAGCCAGACACACCTCCTCCCTCTCTCACACTCACTACACACAAGGCCGGAGACACAGCACGTGCATGTGCGTGTGCGTGTGTGTACACACACACACACACACAGCCAGATACTTGGCCAGACACACCCCATCACACACAGAGCCAGACCAGAGCCCGGCCCACCTTTGCCAGATGCATTCAGCCACCTCCCCCTCTCCCCCCCCCCCCCCCCCCAGGAGCACACAGCCCGCCTGATATCCATCCCCGGCTGAAACCAGAGCTGCACACACACACACACTGGCCGTGTGTGCATCCCTGGTCCACCCCGTGTACATTATAACACATGTCTCCTGGCAACAAAGCCGGTGGGGCTCCTGACCTCCCCGCTGGGGGCCGGAGCCTGGAAGAGTCGGGTTGGCACCTGACCTGCACGAAGATACACCCTCTTCCTCTTCAGATCGTCTCCATTCCCATGGCAACAGCTCCATCCACCAAGATCTCCCAGGCGAGTCCCCTTCCTGCCCTCTTCCCCTCCACCTCCCCCCCACCCCCCCATCAACCAGGACTTCAACTTGAACCCCTCCCAGCTACACCGTGTCTGGACGCTAAACATTTGGAATGTTCCCCGGAAGAACACAAACCCCAACTCCAAATGGGGGAACCCCTGGAGAAACCTCGCCACCAAAAAGCTGCAACAGAGCCGGCTTTATGCTGTTTTCCCAAGCGCTAACACCTTGGAACAGAGCGGAAGGGGGAGGAAGGAGGGAAAGTGGAGTTTCAGGAACAGATGCAAACTGCAAGAGGCCCAGAGGAGGAGGCATCGGAGAGAAGTGGGAGACGGCCAAGGGACGCCCCCCCTCCCTCCCCGCCCCCCTACAGGAAGCCCTGGAGAGACTGAGGCAGCGGGGGTGAGGGGTGGGGGGTAAAGGGGTAACTCTTGAGAGACAAAGACCAGGGGCACGTCCACAATATTCACAGGCAAATCCACCGCCCGGGCCTCTTCCAGCCATCCGGAGCGATTCTGGGCAGAAGGGGGCCTTGGGGGAGGCGGGAGGCACGCCTGGGCCCAACGCGAAGGCAGGAAGGACTGGGGTGTCCGCTCGCCCAGGGGTCCCCCCTTCCCTCCTCCCCAGAGCTAGCAGCAGGAGGACCCGGGAAGGAAGGGGCGGCCCGGCCCCCCAGGGGGAGACGGGCCGGTCGGTCAGACCCCCTCCTGCCTCCGCTGGCGATCGGAAATAAACCTTACCCCCCCCCCCCCATTTCCATGCCACCCCCTGGGCCCCGGCTGTCCCGGAGCTGGGTCCGAGGATCCGAGCCCCCAGTTCCCGGGGGGCCGCTCCTGTCCTCCCAGGAGCCAAACTTTCCGCGGGGCCCAGCTTGGGGGTGGGGGCGGGGGCGGGGCGCCCGGCCTGGGGATGGCGGGGGGGGGGGGGGGAAGGGGCCGGCGGGGAGGTGCCCAGAGCCCCGGGGCCCGGGCAGGAAAGAGCGCCCTCCCCCGGTCCCCACGGCAATAAAAAAAAGCATGTCCCCTGCCTCCCGGCCTCCAGGCTTAGCACGTCCGCGACGCCCGAGGGGCGGGGGGTCCCCCGAAAAACAGAGAGCGACCCCTCCCCGGGCCGAGGGGCGCAGAGGGGGAAGCCAGGGCAGAGATGGGTCCGGAGGGGGGCAGCGGGGCAGAGATGCACCCCACCCGGCGCCCGGCCCTCCCCGCCTCCTCAGGAGCGGGTCTGGGACGGCGCGGAGCACAAAGAGGGGGTGGTCCGGGGAGACGCCACATCGCTGGGAGGGGAATCCGCTTCGGCCATCTTGGAAGGGAGAGAGGGGAAGGGGGAGAGGGAAAGGGAGAAAGGAAGGCGGCGGCGGCCGGGGCGGCCGGCGGTTGGGACGCGCCCGGCTCCGGCGCCCGCCCCGCGGGGATGCGGGAGAGGATGCGGCCGGGCCGGGCCCCGGCGGCGGCGGGGCAGGCGGAGGGGAGGGCAGGGCGGTCCGGTCCGCTTACCTGGGCTCGGGGTCTGCGGTCCGGGGAGGGGGCGGGAGGGAGGGCGGGAGGGGGGGCCCAGCCGCGGCGCTCGCTCGGCGGCGGGCGGGGAGAAAGCTTCGGCGAGAAAGGAGTTTGCGAAAGCGGCTGGGGTGGGAGGAAGCGAGGGGAGGGGAGGGGAGGGGAGGGGGAGGGGAGGGACCCGGGCTGGGGGGGGGGCACAAAATGGCTTTTTTTCCTCCAGACAAGAGCAGGGCCCGCCCACTGCCCACCCACGTGACCCCATTCCTTTAGGGTGTTCGCGGAGGGGGCGGGGGGGGGTAGGGGCGATCGCGGCGGCCCCCCCACCCCCGCCCCCGGCCTCTGGGCCCCCCAAAGTAGGGCAGCCCTTTACCCTCCCCAGACAGCCCGGACCCGGAGAAAGGACCCTCCCCTCCGCAGCTCACGCCTCCTCCCCGAACACGCGTGTGCGCCCCCCGCCCCCGCCCCCGGCCCGGCGATGCCCACCCTCGCGGGGCGCCGGGAAGGGGGTGAAATGCAGCCGGGGCTCCGCGCAGCGGGGCTCGCCGTGCGGTCCCCCCGCCCCGGCCGAAGGGCGCGGGGCCGGGCCAGGGCCGCGCCGCCCGCACGTCCACGCGCCGGGTCCTGTCCATTCACTGGAGCGGCGGCCCCTCAGACCGCGGCCGCGATCGTGGGCGCGTGGCCCCGCGTGCGCCGCTCGCCCCATCGGCCCCCCATCGGCAGCTCCGAGACGCGGCCCCCGGGCCCCAGGGGGTCCCGCCAGGGCATGGGGTGGGGGGTGGGGGGGAACGGGAGGAAGGCTTGGACCCGCCGGGAAGAGCGGGGAGACGGGTGGCGCCGGGGCCGCCGATCGATACTCGGTTTCGGCGACGGCCGCGGCCTGCCTTATGCAGACGGTCGATTCGCTCATTCGTCCGTGGAGATTGATTGGGATGGTCGCCGTGTCCGTCCCTTCAAAGAAAGCGGCCATCCGGCCATTAAGTGCACCGAGTGTGCAAATGAGGAGGCGAACCTTCGGCAGCTCCGGGGCGCCCCCCGCCCCCCCCCCCCCGCCTCCCTTCCCGCCCGCAGCCCAGGCCGCCCCGGAGCCGGCGCCGCGGGCTGCAGCTCCCCTCGCTGGCCGGAGACCAGGTCATCCTTTGGCCGCCCAGTGACCCCGGCTCCAGCCTCCGGCCCACCCTGGCCGCATGGGGCGGGAGAGGGGTTTCCGCCCAGAGCCGGGCAGTCTGAGAACCCCGGGAGAAGGCCCGGGGGACCTGGTCACCTGCTCCACGCTGTTAGCAGGCACAGACCAGGGCCCCTCTGGGAAAGGGGGTTAGGGGATGGACACACTGGCCGTCCATAGGGCAAGGGGGTCGCCTGGACCTTGGGGTTCTGCCAGGGAAGAGCCAGGCGCCCTCTTCCGTCCTGAAGGCGCCCTGTTGGGGGGGGGGGGGGCGCAGTAGGAACGCTTGGTCTGCCACTCCTTTGGGGCTAGAAGATCCGGAGCCAGAGAAAGCTGTAGGGGCTTCAGAGGTCACAGTCCCTCCCACAGTGCACACCTTGGTTGTGTGTGTATGGGGGAAAGGGGGAGGGGCGGGGTCTGCTACTATCTCTGAGTCCGGCTGCTAGAAGGGATCTTCGTGCTCACCTGGGATCCATTCACTTGTTCCTCCATTAATCAAGTGCCAGCCAGGAGCAAACCACAAGACAGAAGGGACCTGCTGAAGACCCTATTGCCCACTTCCATCATGTATGTCCCAGGCAACAGGGCCCCGTATCCCTGGCCTTTCTGGTTTAGCAGGAGAATCTTCTGAATGTGTCTAGTGTTCAGACAAAGAAGCACCTGTCATGTGTCAAAGCAGGTCCCGTGCCAAGCACAGGGCACAGAACGCCGATGAGCCAGGCTTCCGGGGCAAGGTACACACAGACTGATGGGGGCAAATCCGGAGGGTTCCACAGCCTGTGTGCCCCCCGGTGTCCCCCTCAGCGGGGTGAGAGCTGGGTAGGGAGGGGGCGCACTGGCCAGGGCTTTCAGAAGAGCCTGGCCTTGAGAAGAGACCGGACATGGAGGAGAATTGCTGGAGGGAGTCCTTTGCTTGGCTCTTTCGTAAAAGTGGAGGCTCCGACCCCATGTCCTTTGTCGGTTTCTCCTGCTATTTCCCCATTCTCACTCATGTGGGTGTATTTCTAGAAAAAAGAAGAAAAAACTCTTTCTAATGCTTCTCATATTAACTGTTCTTTTCCTTCTCTCCATTTCCTCTGTGTCTTCCTTCCTCTGACCTCGCCTATTTCCTGTCATATCCCCTCTTTCTGTGTCCGCCTATCACAGCGATGCTCTCTCTCCCTTTCTCACCTTCCTCTTTGCCCCTCAGCTTGTTTCTGCCTTTCTCTGACACCTTTTTTCCCTTCCACATGTAATAGTTGGAGATTGTAACATCGCCTGAGAACAACAGTGGAAAACTATCCAACCTCCGCTGGAAATTCGTTCTTAATCCTAACGAAAAACGCAATCTGGAACGTATTGGTATTGCCCGGTCAGACAAAAACCTGTCTGTTGTTCCTGCAGTCCAGTTTCGGGGGAGAATAGAAGAGAGAGCCAGAGAAATTATCCCGTCACTGAGTATACAACACATTTCCAATCACGATGAGCCTGTGATGTGCTGTAGAAAAAGTGTGTCTCTGCCCTTTCAAAGCCAGATTCAGGATTCCAGCAGTTGGGATAATTACGCTTCGGAGGGAGGAAAACAGAGCGTCCCTGGGTGGGCTCGAACCACCAACCTTTCGGTTAACAGCCGAACGCGCTAACCGATTGCGCCACAGAGACTGTAGTGGCTGGTAAGGCGGCGGCGAGCCGAGTCAATAGGAGTGAGCTGGCGACGAAGCAGAAGCCAGAACAGAAACCCTCGCGGAGGTGCCAAAGCGGACCCGAGGGCGAAAGAGGGTCTGGATTCATAGAGGAAAACTGGCAGAACAGGCACACATTCCAGACCGGTTCTGGAGGGGTGGGTGCCGGCTTCCTACGGATTTTAGATAAGGGAAAGCTCGGAACGCCCCTTTTTAGAGGGACCTGAGATTTGGGATACTTGAAATCGACCCCAGAGCAGAACAACGTTCGGCCTCCAAACCTCCCCTTTGCGGCTGAACCCCTGCAGCTGAACACTCGCGACGCCCACCTACTGCCCTCCCCTCCCCTCTCCGCATTAGTAAATATGCACTTACTGGCGCCTCTTACACACCAGGCACCGTTCTAGCTCAGTTAATGTCCAGAGCCTAGTGCTTGGCACACAACAGATGTAAGGGTTTCTGGAAAAAATACATGAAACAAGCGAAGATGAGTAAGAATAAGCTCGACAAGCAACACGGTAGCCCTTCAGCTGCGGCTACAGCCGCCCAGGTGCACGCAGATCCAGTCCGCCACGATCCCAGCCTGCACCGCGACGCCGGGGCCTTCCGCGCTTACTGTGACTTTTCACTTTCGCTTTACCGGCTTTGACTTCTCAATCAAACTTCCCGTGTTGGTGACTGACAGAGGGGTTCAGCCAATAGGAAGCCACACTATCCCGGAAAGGTCGGCCTTTCAGCCAATAGGGAGAGAACAGCGAGGGTGGTTGCGCAGTGGGGTCCTCAGCGGGCTTGCGGGAACTGTGGCGGTCGGAAGTCCTACTACACCGCAGTCATGGTGAGATGGGAGCGAGGAGCGGGGGCTCGGGGTAGCGATGGAGAAACGGGGTCACGGGAGACTTGGGGGGGGGGAGCGAAGAGGGCCTGGTGGTCGGCTGAAGGAAGCGGCTGGGGGCGGACCATGGTGGGTGAGGTGGCGGCGGCTCCTCGCAGCCCGGCAGGGCTGATGGCAGACCCGGAGTTGGAGGCCTCCGCGCACCTCCAGAGGGGAGGACGGTGTGTACAGGACCCTCCGGGTCAGGGGGTGGGGTTGGGGTTGGGCTGGGGGCTATGGCCGCGTTTGACCTCTCGCCCTTCCACTCTGTGCGCCCCAGTCTATTATGTCATATAACGGAGGGGCCGTCATGGCCATGAAGGGGAAGGACTGTGTGGCCATCGCTGCCGACAGGCGCTTCGGGATCCAGGCCCAGATGGTGACCACGGACTTCCAGAAGATCTTCCCCATGGGCGACCGGCTGTACATCGGCTTGGCCGGGCTAGCCACCGACGTCCAGACCGTGTAAGTGTGTGTGTGTGGGGGGGGGGGGGGGGGCGGGGACGCCCACACCCCGGCCTCTTCACGGACCAGCCTTGCCTGGCGTCGTGAGTGGGACACCATAAATGACACCGTTGTATCCTAGTGACTGACGCCAGCATGTACTTTGCCAGGGTCTGTGGAAAGCACCTGGCCTGCCTGGGTTCATGTAATGGCATTGCCATGGTGCCGTCCTAGTTTGCAGGTCAGGGAGCCCAGGCTCTCAGAGAGCATCTTGCCCAAGAGGCAAGCTAAGGAAGTTCAGCCAAGATCCCACACAGGCCGCTCTGAAGCGAAAGCCTGTGCACTCCGTCTTTGAAAAGCTTACGGTCTCGTTGGGGGACAAGGCAGGCATCCAGAAAGAGAAATGACCCCGGTGCATATTAGATCAGCTGTCTAGTTGGCAGTGGTTCTGTGAGTTGAGACTAGCAGGGTCTGGGAGATGAAATAGGTAGCCGTTGGGACATCCAGGTGTGCTCGGTATGGCCCTAATGGGGTGGTTGTGGTGGTGGTGGTGGTGGGAAAGGAACTTGGAAAGCATTTCTGAGAGTTGTTGCTGGCCAGCCGTTGTGGCTACTTGGATATTGTGAGGCCAGAGAATCCTTCATTGAGGCTGTGGTTCCTTTCCTTTATCTTTTGTCTAAACTAGTTACCCCGCATGTAGGCAGTCCGGAGATGTTTTAAAGATGGTTTCTGTGCTGAGTCTGTTGACATATAGGAATTGGTAGGACTTATTTTAGAGGGAGGTGATGACTTTGATTTTGACACTAATTTTGAGGGACAAGGCAGGCCACGTAGAAACATCTTGTGAGCATTTGGGGTCTGAAATGCTGTCTCCGGGCTGGAGAGGTATTGGTGAGCTGTTAAATCCATGGGAACAGATTTTGGAGAGACAAAGGGGAAAAATAAGCTGAACGCCATCATTTTAGCAGCTGGGTTAGAAGAGAAGCCAGGGGAAAAGAATCTAGATATCGAGATAGAGTTTCCAGAGGGAAGGCGTGGTCACAGGTGACAGGTCCTGCAAGAAGCTGGTGGCCTGCCTTGACCGGTTTGGGTCAGTGGATAGAGCATAGGCCTGTGGACTCAAGGGTCCCAGATTCGATTCCGGTCAAGGGCATGTACCTTGGTTGCGGGCACATCCCCGGTAGGGAGTGTGCAAGAGGCAGCTGAGTCGATGTTTCTAACTCTCTATCCCTCTCCTTTCCTCTCTATAAAAAAATCAATAAAATACATTTAAAGAAAAAAGAGAGAGAAGCTGGTGGCCCAAGAAGCAATGGCTCCTGGACTTTGTCTCTGGAAGTCAGAGGGACCAGTCCACTAATGTGGGTGGACGCTTGGCAGAAATGTCCTCTCCCATTTCCCTTAAAGCTCCCTGAGTCGCAAGAACATAGAACTTAGAAATTCGTCCTGAGATCTAACTGAAACTGCCGAGTTTTTTCCAGTTCTGGTGGCGTCAGGGAATGATGGCGGAGAGTTCCAGCCCGTGAAGGGCCCCCATCAGCCTTCCCCTCTCCAGCCACTGCCGTTCCCACACCCTTTCCTTGTCTTCCGGAGGTTTTTCCCACAGAGTTTGTCGTTTGTGGGCAGTAATGGCTCATTTCGCGAGGCCTTTGCCTCCTCACCTGTAAGATGAAGCTAAGGTTGTATCTGAGGTTCTTTGTCCTGGGGGCCTGTGGCTGGCTCTTTGCTTTGCTTTTGGCAGGTAAGGCATTAGTGTGCTCCCTGCAGGTGCTCGCAGATGGCACTGGAGGATTTGTGGCCTCTTTTTCTTAGTTACTTTCCGGTCCCTTAGTGTGGTGGCTGCTGCTTAAGACATAGCAGACTTTGCAGTTTTCTAAGCACCTTGTCAAATGCCCATCATTATCTCACCACCAGGTGATGTACTTTTTCCTCATCTTGTGGATGAAAAAATTAAGGTGGAGGTCAGCTCTATCAATCCACTGCTCCTTCTTCTTTATTGAGTTTGATTCCAGTCAAGGACACATGCCTGGGTTGTGGGATCGATCTCCAGTAGGGGCCATGCAGGAGGCAGCTGATCAATGGTTCTCATCATTGATGTTTCTATCTCTCTTCCTCTTTGAAATCAATATAAAGTGTATATATTAAAGCCAAAACTGGTTTGGCTCCGTGGATAGAGTGTTGGTCTGCGGACTGGAAGGTCCCAGGTTCGATTCTGGTCAAGGGCATGTACATTGGTTGCGGGCACATCCCCAGTAGGTGGTGTGCAGGAGGCAGCTGGTCAATGTTTCTCTCTCATTGATGTTTCTAGCTCTCCCTTTCCCTTCCTCTCTGTGAAAAATCAATAAAATATATGTATATATATTAAATGTATATATTAAAAAAAAGAAGATGGGGGAAATCTCCCCTCTAAAAAGTATGGGGGGAGGTTATTAGAGTGGTGTGTCCAGGTGTTGGGTTGGGCAAGTCCTGAAACATGGACATGAGGTTGGACTTCTGGGAGGGGAAGAGAGGAGTCACAGCAGGGCCGAGACGTGCGTCTCCCTATGTACCTCCCGCCTCCACAGGCTGAGCACTCGGGGACATGCGGCAGTGGCTCACTAATTCTCCTCCTCCTACAGTGCCCAGCGCCTGAAGTTCCGGCTGAACCTGTATGAGCTGAAGGAAGGCCGGCAGATCAAGCCTTACACCCTCATGAGCATGGTGGCCAACCTCTTGTATGAGAAACGGTGAGTGGAAATAGAGCACGTCCTCGGATGACAATTTGTTCAACGTCATTTTGTAATAACGATGAGGTGCCATAGGAACTTGTTTTTATTGGTTGGTCTATGACACAATTGGTTTTATTATATATCATTTCGCTTAAAGTCACAGGACCTATCTATGATGTAAGGGAGGACTTCCTGTTTGGCCTGGGACTCAGAGAATCAGAAACCTTTGATTCTTTAAGTAGGCATGTAGGAGAGTATGGTGCCTAGGAAAGAGTTCCCTTCTCATTCTCCTATTTCTTTTCTTTTTTAATATATATATATATATATATATATATATTCTTATTGATTTCAGAGAAGAAGGGAGAGGAAGAGAAAGATAGAAATATCAACAATGAGAGAGAATCATTGATCGGCTGCCTTCTGCAGCATGTGCCCTTGACCAGAATCGAACCTGGGGCCTTTCAGTCCTAAGGTTGATGCTCTGTCCACTGAGCTAAACCGGCTAGGGCTCCCATTTCTTATTTGCAAGACATCTTTATTTTAGGGGTCTGTTTCTGTGTGCCTGACCACCAAATAGGAAAGAAAGGGCTATTGCAGAAGGTAGAGAATGCAAATAGAAAATAAACTACTTCTGGGCCACAGAATTGACCACCCCAAAGAGTGTCCTGCAGTCTGCCAGCCAGGAGCCACCCTTACTCCAAAGCTCACTCTGTGACACGGATTCTCTGGAACAGCAGGGAACCTAGGATTGGGTGGAGTTGGAGAAAGAACCCGCAGGTACTTTCCCCACCCACCTCTGGACAAAACTGGGAGGCAAGAGCACAAGTTAAGCTCTTTTTTCTTTTTGTTTTTCTAAACGTTTTATATTTAGATAATTTTAGAATTTATAGAAAAGTTGCAGAACTAAGTCTTTGCTACCTGGAGCAAATTATTGCCTTTTTAGTATTAAAAAGTTAAAGACAAAAAAAGGACTACCATTTTAACTATATATATTTTTATTGATTTCAGAGAGGAAGGGAGAGGGAGAGAGAGATAGAAACATCAGTGATGAACCACCCCGGTGCATATGGTAGGCCTGCCTGGTGTCCCTCATCAGGGCCTCCTGAGCACAAGTTCATTTCCGCCATGATAGGCACAATGCGTTCCCAGCGGCGTGGTAAAAAATTAACCCAGAAACTAGGTCACATAAAACTTAGTGAAAATGAAAAACTAAAACACACACACATTAATGAGAGAGAATATTATTGATTGGCTGCCTCCAGTACTGCACGCCCCACAGTGGGGATCAAGCCTGCAACTCGAATATGCCCTGAACTGATTTATAGGTTGACGCTCGGTCACTGAGTCACACTAGCCAGGCAGAACTACCATTTTGTTTTTAGGCATAAGTTTATATTCTCACCTGTGAACTGTCTGCTATATAGAGTAACCACATTTGTCAAAATCCCACATTGAGAAAGGCTTAACAAAAGATTTCTTAAACTGATTCAAATGAGAGGGGGGAATCTTATACAATCTAACTCACATTAAGGTTTATATTTAATGGCTCATGTTTATTGAAAATAATAAAAAGGCATCGAGGCCCAACCAGTGTTGCTCAGTGATTAAACATCGACCTATGAACCATGAGGTCACGGTTCGATTCCCGGTCAGGGCACGCGCCCTGGTGCCGGGCTTGTTCCCCATTATGGGGTGTGCAGGAGGCAGCTGATCAATGACACTGTCATCATTGATGTTTTGATATCTCTCTCTCCCTCCCTCCCTCCTTCCTTCTCTCTCCTTTTCCCTCTCCCTCTCCCTCTCTCCTCTTCCCTCCCTCCCTCTCCTTCTTTCTCCCTCCCTTCCTCTCTGAAGTCAATAAAAATATAAATTTTAAAAAGCTAGCCACTGGAAAAGGAGATTTCCCAACAGACCTTCTGTTTCCTCCCTGGGTCTGGGCCAGGGCTTGTCTGACTAGACCTGAGCAGGGAAGTGCTTGTTCTTAAGCTCTGGTTTCTCTCTGCTCCTGGACCTGCAGGTTTGGCCCCTACTACACTGAGCCCGTCATCGCTGGGTTGGACCCGAAGACCTTCAAGCCCTTCATTTGCTCTCTGGACCTCATTGGCTGCCCCATGGTGACTGACGACTTTGTGGTCAGCGGCACTTGTGCCGAGCAGATGTATGGGATGTGCGAGTCCCTCTGGGAGCCCGACATGGTGAGTTGGTGGCAGGAAGTGGGGCTGGGACCTGAAGCTCCCTCCTCTCCTGGACCATCAGGGGGAAATGTGTTTACCTTGCAGATATTGGGGAAATGGTGTGGGTAGGGGAGAAAGCCACAGCTGCTGAGCCAGAAACTCCATCCGCCAGGTGTGGCCTGGCTGGCTCCAGGGACCCCAATCAGATATTTGCTACAAGTAATTCCTCACATTGGATTTTCAGGGTTCTCACAGTCATTCATTTAATAAACATTTAACAAAATGTAAAGTGTAGGTTTAGAGGCAGTTCAACAGAATGGGTGCTGGGTTGGAATACCAGCTCCACCAACCACTTAACTAGTTCTCTTCTTGTATGATTTATTTCTCTGCCTCCGTCTCCTCAGCTGTAAAGTGGAGGTGATAATAGTACCTGTCTTATACATGGAGGTGTGAGGAAAACGCGAGAGGATTGGAACAGGCCTGGCAGTGAGGGGCGTCCGCTGGGCCGGCTTGGTCAGACTCTGGGGAACCAGGTAGTCTGTCTGCAGAGGCTCACCGCAGTCTAATGAAGCAAAGCAGACACCCAAATACTTGTTAAACCGAGTGTTAGGAAGAGGGGGAGGAAAGGGCCTGGTTGGCAGAAGGAACAGCTTGTGCAAAGGTGCGGGAGGGGCCGGCGTTCAGAGCTCGCTGTGGCTGCTGAGTGTGAGCGGGTGAACGGAGTGAGGTTGGGATGAGACTTTGAAACACCTTGAACGCCATGCCCAGGAGTTGGGACTTCTTTTTCTGGTGTCAAAGGCAGTAGGAACCTTAGGGAACAGAGGCCTGCAGGTAGAAGGAACAAGCTATTGTGGTCACCGGCAGGAGGCTCAGGTTCTGAGCAAAAACTGGCAGTGGGAGGGTGGGGCAGCCATAGTCTAGAGGACTTGGTCATTTAAAACAGAAATGAGGGAGGCGGATTCCTGAGTTTTCTAGCTAAGCCAACAAAGATAGAAAATGAAGAACAAGTTTGGGTGGAAATGTGTTGTCATGGCTGGACAGGTTGCGTTTTGAGGTACGAATGGGACCCCCAGGGGGAGAGTCCGTCAGGCAGCTGACAGCGCACATGGGAGCCAGATAGCAAGTCTTCTCCCCATTTTCCAGGGGAGGAATTGAGGCTCAGTGAAGGAGGTCTGGCTTGCCCAAGGTCACAGTGCTGCCTAGTGGAGGAAGTGCAGGACTTGAACTTGCACTTATAGAACCCTGCTCCCTTCTGGGAAGGAGCTGAGGGGCCTTTCACCTCAGGCAGAGGAGGGCCACTGCTGGGGTCCTTGGGCCTAGGAAAAAGAGTGTTAGGAGCCAGACCACGCTGGCGGTGGGGACTGGAAGCTTCTGCTCTGCTGGCAGGACCCAGAACACTTGTTTGAGACCATCTCCCAAGCCATGCTGAACGCTGTGGACCGGGACGCGGTGTCAGGCATGGGAGTCATCGTCCACGTCATGTGAGTATGAGCTGCGAGTCCGAAGCTTTGCAGATACTTCCCTCCCCCTCCCGCACGAACACCCGTCCCAGCCCCTGGCAGATGCGGGACAGAAGTCCTAAAGGTGGCAGCTGGGAGCCTCCCCAGGTTCCCTGGTCCATCAGGTGAGGCTCCATGACCCTGAGACTCCCCTTGTTCACAGCAGATACTTCTTTCTCCCTTTAAGTGCCCCCAAACCTCAGGGACCTTGTGGTGATGAGCCACAGCAGAGCCACTGCAGACAGATTGAAATACTGGGTGGCTCCCCATCTCTCCAGTTCCCACCAGTGTGGGACTCCATGTGTGATCTATTTTCCTGCTATATGAGCGCCATCCCTTTTCCTCTTACTTGTTTGGGGTTGTCACCAGGAACCTAACTGGATGGCCTAGGTGTCCTCCCAGCTGCTTCGCTTCGGTACAACCCAGAACAATATCTGGACCCTTTGTTTTGGGATAGCCTGCTCAGTCACCGTGAAAAGCAGACTGGACTAACAGAGAATGTTCTGTCCATCCGTGACACCCATCACGTGTCCTTCCTAGGTTGCTTGCTCTCTAGGCCTGGGCAGTGCCTTCCTTTCTTCGGAGGGCTTCTCAGTCCGGCCCTGAATCATCTCAGCTCCTGATGGTCCCACCCATGGGGAGCTCCCACCAGTTTCCCCACTTCTCCCTCTCCCCTTCCTCAGCACAGGCCGGGGAGACAGGCAGACATTAATGTACGTGAGCAAAACAGTTAAACCCAGTCAGGACGCCACTTGTTCTGCAGTCTTATGGTTTTCTCCCTCTGCAGTGAGAAGGACAAAATCACCACCAGGACCCTGAAGGCCCGAATGGATTAACTCCCGTTTCCAGAGCCCACTGTTTTTTGTCTTTTTTTTTTTTTAAGTAAATGTTTTTCTTTCACTCCTGTTTCTTTGGTCTCTGTCCCCAGCTGGGAAGTTACAAATAGCTACGCAGGGTCTAGCTCAGCCCGCAGGGGGTCTTGCCACTGGTATACCCGAGGGGGTAATGTCTACACATCATTTGAGTGCCTGTTACAGGCCCTGCACAAAGTGCTTTATACATTTTGGTATTTAATCATCGTAATGACGAAGGTAGTTAAATAACGTGTGCAGGGCCACTTTAGTAAGTGATGGTGCAAAGGTATAAAAACCTCCATTCTGTTTGCTTTCAAAGACTAGACTCCTTTCCACTCAATAGAAACCCCTTAAATCTCCTCTCATTGTTTCTGGTAGAAATTTGGCCGAGTACCCACCAGTACTATTCTGTAGACCCGTGTTTCTTAGCCTTGGCTGCACATTAGTCACCTGGGGAGCTTCTAAAACAGATACTTTGATCCCATCCCTCAAGATTCTTATTTAATTGGTCTTTTAAAGGGGCCTGAGCACCTGACTTTTCTGAGTTCCCCAAATGAAAGAGAGTCTACTGGCAGGTACAACACACAGGTACCTGTTCAAAGCCAGCCTTGCAGCTGGTGTGCTGGGTGTGCGTGGGAATGACACAGACCAGCTCCAGGGCCCTGCTCTTAACCACATCTGAAAGTGGGTGACCAGAATTGAGTCCTTCTCCAAACTCAAGCCATACATTAATTTAGCCCAAGCAGCCTCTGACACGGACTACAACCTTTTAATTAAGAAAAAAAAAAGAAATGAAAGGCTCATTTCCAAAGGACTCACACATAACAGATGTGTACACAAAGCTTTTTAAGTTTTATTTTCCTCGGATTGAAGATTCATCGTAACACGCATGCATTTTAAAACAGTAACAGGGTCTCGAACTGTTCAGAGCAGACATTAGACAAGCACAGGGGCTGAAAATTCCTATTTAAAAAATGGAAATTGCAGTGGGAAATGGAGGTCACACACATATGGTGGGGTGATAGTTTATCCTGCTCCCCCCTGAAATTGAATCTAGACTTAATTCACATTTTTTATTACAATGACCAGACCTGATGCTTGGGTGTGCTGAGCACCACCAGGCCTTCCCCCAAATGTTGTTGGTTCCTACTTGCCCCTGTGCAAGAGGAAGGGGCTCCTCTGGAAGATTCCTCTCCAGCCTCCAAGGATCTCAGCACCACCCACTGGGTAAGCCAAGTCTTCCCTTTGGAGGCACCCTCATGAGGGTGCATCTCAGAGGGAGGGGAGGGCCCTGGCCCCGCCCCCTCCAGACCGTGCAGATGGCTGGTACATTGAGGGGCAGTTACTTGAATGTTTTCCCTTTGATTCCTGTGCTTAGAGTGGACTCACCCTGCACACGTTTCTGACGGAAAGAGGTGAGGTCCCTTGACTTGGGAGACCTGTGCTGAGGAAGGCCAGAGCTCTGAGGGTTGTTTCAACACTCCCAGCCCCTAACGTTTTAGTAGCTCAAATGCTGGGGAGTGCTGAAGCCTTTCTCCCAACTGGGACTGGTAAAAGGACAACCGGGGGTGGGACTGGCTACTGAGGAAAATCCTGGGTCTTTGGTTCACCTCCCCAGGGCAGGTCCTGGCAGACTGACGAAAGCACTAGGGCAGGGGGCTGCAGCCCCCGGTCCGGAGTACTCCCAGGGGCCTGCTTGAGGCCTAACGCACAGGCAAGAGGAACAAGGGGACCAGGGAAGAGCTGCCTGTGATGGGAACTGAGGGAGTGCTGCTGAGAATAGCCACAGACCAGAGCTCCTGAGCAAGTAAGGGACGATGGAGCACTGCTCCAGCTGTGCTCCCGGACTGCGGGCTTCCCAGCCCTCCCATTACTCCCACTGGGAGGATAAGACTCAGTGGTTCATGAACAGGAACAAGGGCCAGAGGCCTTCAGCTAATAGTCTCAGTGGAGTTTTCAGAAAACCCCTCGTTTTGGCCGGGAAACCTGGAGACTAGTCTCTCATCTGTAGCCTTTCGGAACAGGCGCAGGATGGGAGAGCCTGGGATACGAATCCTGCCCTTCAGACCTCACCAGTCAGCCACGTCCTATTCTTATACCTTTGCTCTTGGGAGACCCAAAACTCCTCTAGGGTGCCATGAGGCAGCTGTTTCATAGCTCCAGGGAGTGAGGTCGAGGGTCGTTACATCCCCTCAGCAGGGTAATGGCGGGATTTGGGGAAGTGGGGACAGACAAAAGCTTGAGGATCAGTTCACCTTCTCTGCATTCAGACTGCAAACCAAATATAGTATCTTCATCATTACAAAAAGAAGAGAAAGAAAACTTGCATAAACCAAGATAAATAGCTTTTAAACATTTGAATGCCAAAAGAATTAGAGGACCAAACCCAAGGTTTTGAAAATAGCACAGAATGACCTTTAAAAAAATCTACAATTCACCAAACCACAGCTTAATGTTCTGACCCAATCAACAACACTGTCAGAAACACAAAGAGCATTTGCAATAGGGTGCTACCTCTCAAAATGTAAACAATATACAAAAAATAAACCGCACAAAATCACAAAACTCAATGTTAAGTCAGATACTCGGTAGCTCATCTTTCACTGATAGGATTATTACATAATTCATACACATCATGGCAACATGATCAGACCAAATGCAGGGAGCCTGAGGCTACAGAGGCTGCTGGGAGCCAGCCTGCCAGCCTTTGGAGATGCTGGGCCTATGAGCAGATCCAAATCTCTATTCTTGATTAGAAGATGGGAAATCAAGTCCAAACATCATTCCTATAAGAATCCCTAAGTCAGTGTGTTTTCTCCATGTGCCATTTGGTTTCAAGTCCTTGCTCCAGTCCCTTCGTGGTCTTACTGCCAATGTTCAGAGTTCCCTACGGGCCCTTCCTGGGCCCAGGGCAGTTGTTTGGCCCATCTGCTGCTTCCAGAAGGGTCCCGCAGCCCCAGAGGAGTCCAGAATGCTGTCTCCGTTCCCTCCTGACCTAAAGCTGCAGGTAGGGCAGAGATGGTGACGGTCCCTGCTCCAGAGGCTGAGCTTGGCCAAGTTTGGAAGGACCATAGGAAACCAATCCATTCATTCCAAATGCTTCCACAAACTTCCTTCGAATCTGTGTTTTGCCATATCTCCTCCTGAATCCCCCGTTCCGGGTGAGGGGTTGAGAAGATATGGAAATGTACCTCCTCAGCACAGGGCTGTTTTCTCTGCTAGCTAGGCCAGACAGCTCTGATGTCACCGCAGAATGACAGCTCAATTCTGAGGCCTGGATAGCAAGGCTCAGAGGTGGGAGAGATCCCGAAGGAAGCCTGTAGGTGGCAGATCTGTTAGAAATCTAGATGGGGCATCAAGGAAGAACAGCCCGAGGGTGGATCCAAATCCACTCCCACCTCAAGCCTCTGCGTTGGATTAGGCAGGTCACATCCTCACGTGATCCAAGAACAGCCTCAGGCTTGGGCACCACGTCCATGGCGGGAGGCACCCCTCCCTGCTGGCTGCAACATCCCGGGGGCAAACCCAGGCCACGGAGTCAGACCTACAGGGCAGCCCTGGGAGCCAAGGCGGAGCCTCAGCAAGGAGCACCCAGGCCCCTGGAGATCTGCCCCCGCTGACAGCTGCCTAATGTGAGGCGCCTGGGCAAAGGTCAAAGGAAGTAAGTGGGCGGAGGGCACAAGCCCTCATCTGATACTCATCAGCTTCTGGGGTTTCTCCCAAGGGGAAGAAAGGGTCCTTGCTTGTTCCTCTTGACCACGTGGGAGGCAGGTTTACTGAGAAGACGTCTGAACTCCAGGGGCCCAGATAGCCCAGCGACTGAGCGGTGATCCCGGTTCTGAGACCCAGCAGTCGGAGAGCCCAGCAGCCCCACCCTCGCCAGCCCAGGAGGATGAACTCGCTCCCTCCGAGAGCTTTGATTCTGATCCACAATGACCGGCGTGGACCCGGAGTGTTCCGTCAGGAGGACAGCGTTCAGGATCCGAGGAGGAAAGGTGAAGGAGGTTGTGCACAATACTTCATCAAACTGAAAGTTACCCCGAGGAGGAGGCGTCTGACCTCTCCTCCGGGGTCAGAGCCCTCGGCTGAGGGGACCCTGGGCGGGTCTAGAGGGAACCCCTGTAACTGAAGGGACTAGGGCAGGATGGGAGGTGGATAGGGTGATGACATACATCATTATAAAGAGCAAACCGAGGGCAATGAAATTTCAGAAAAACCCAAATAAACCCAGTCACCTCTCGCCCCACGGCGTTTTAAAGGCTACAAGGTAACAAAAAGGGAACCCCTTTTAACCTGGGTCAATGGGTGGGGGAGTCAAAGGTAAGAAGGAGGTGAGGCCACATCCTGTGAGCATGAGCACACAGCACATCCCCCTCCCCTGAACCGTTCAGTGTCACAGGCTGCAGTCTCACTGCTAACGCCCTCCCCGGCCCCCCACTCTGCTCCCACCCCTCCATCTAGCCCAAATACACCCTCTCCCCCTTTGGATCCCCAACCCCATATCTCATTCTCTGGCTGTGGCTGAAGGCAGAAGGTCACTACGTCAGGATGTTGGACATGAACTCGTTGAAGCGCTTGGAGTACTGCTCAGGGTTCACAGTCGAGATCTCGGCCCCCGCCTGCAATACAGAGATCGATTCAGGCCCAGCTCCTTGGCCCTCAGAAACACGAGCCTGGGTGTTCAGGAGCCTCTAGATCAGCATTAGAGCTGAATCCAACCCCATGGATGGGGCAGGCCACATGGAGAGGGGGCAGCTATGTCTCGGAATTGCCCCGGCCCCTCCTCTGATTTCCAACCTCAGGGATGCACCCACTGAAGCAGAGGCAAGTGGTGGGAGGTAGCAGGGAGCCTCCTGACTTCTGGGAGCTGCTGTTTGGAGAAGAGTGGCTGGAAGCCTCTGGGGCGCAGTGCGGACAGGTAAACAAAGCCATCAACAAATGCACCACATGCCCAGCAGCCCTGGGAGAGGCACCAGGGGCCGCAGAGTCCCGAGGGCCAGAGAACAAAGGGGAAAACAAGTTGGCATATTATCCAGGGAGGAACACAGATGGCAGAGAATGAACACCAGGCAACCTGGCAGGCTGCGCTTCCTGTCCCCTGCCCTGGGAGAGGGGCACGGGAGTGTCTCCTTAGAGCAGGAGGCCTGAGAGGCGGGGGCCCACCCACTGGGAGAACTCACCCCATGTTTCACTGTTTTGGCTGCATGTGCGGCTTTCTTCTTAGCGTCATATGGTGTGAGGATATCAATGATGGCCATGAAGTAGACCTCCTTCTTGGGGGAACCTGGAGGGGAAACAAGGAGGAAGAGGTGGCAGAGAGAAGATCAGCAAGCAGCTGGGTCCATAACCCTTCAGATGTGAGATCCAGGTCGATCCCTATCATTTTGGATCTGAGGGGGAAAATGGCTAATGGAATCCTCAAAAGCTTTCATAGTTTTTAAAAATTATTATATCGATTCCATAGAGAGCTCAGAAGAGAGACAAACATCAAAGTGAGAGAAACATCGATCAGCCGCCTGACTAGGAATCGAACCCTCCACCTTCTGGTGTACGAGACCACCCTCCAACCAACTGAGCCACACCAGCCAGGACCTCATCTCTCTTATCGTATTTGATCTTCACAGCTCCCTGTGGGTTGACATGAGGGTATTTATAAAGTTTTATTTGTCCCATGAGTCAGAGAACTATGCCTCAAACATCCAGGACAAGCAGAGATGGTAAGAGGCCTACGGAGAAGAACGCCTGGCCCAGAGGACAGAGTTACTGCTGATGACTCAGTGTGGAGCCTGAGGGCAGAAAGAGGCCCAGGTCAGCGGTTACTGAATGAAGTGGACCCACACAGAAGCCAAACAATGGGCCAGGTGGGCAGGAGGAGAGCCAGAGTGGGCAGGCAGCACAGGCTCCTACTTACTTTCATGGCTCTTCATGGCATACACATCAACAGAGGGATCGAACTCCCCGGGGCCGAAGAACCGCGGGAAGCTGAGCAGGTTGCCGGGGCTGTCCGGCGGCGTGCCGTACGAGCAGATCAGGTTGCCCATCCCGTCGTTCTCACACTCCTCGTCCTCCGCCCGCTCCTCCACCTCCATCTCCTCCTGCTCTGCCCGGTCCACATCGTGGATGCCCACCAGCAGGCTGTAGTCCATGATCTTCAGCTGGGCCAGAAACTGGGGGAAGGAAGGCAGAAGTTACGCAGGACATCGCAGTGGCGTCTGGAAAGGGGAGAAAACATTCCTTTCAACTCAACTCTCCCATCTGGAAACCGGAGAATGAGCCCTCAGTCCCTGTGCTCCGTGGGGAGGACCGTCATCCACCAGGGCCGGAGCTGCGGCGTCCACAGCAGCGGGGCGGGGCTGCCCTGGGAGAGGGCTGAGACAGCCTGGCGGGCGGGCGGGCGGGGAAGAGTCAGGCGGGCAGGGGCTGTGGAGGGAAAGGCGGAACGGGCACTGCAGGGAGAGGGGACAGCCGTGCGGTCTGGGACCAGAGGCCGTGGCCAGCGTGAGGAAAGACATGATGGAATGCCACTGTCTTTCAAATCCTGAGTCTCAATCCATTATGATCCTACATCCAATTTAGTGGTCTGAGACTAGGACTTTGAAAATTATTATTAAATACCATCAAATAGAAAAAAAAAATCTCTGGCCGGGTATCTTAGTTGGTTAGAGGATCTTCCTGATACATCAAGGCTGTGGGTTCGCTCCTCAGGCAGAGCACAATATAAGAAACAACTAATCAATACGTAAATAAGCGGAACAACAAATCAATATTGCTCTAGCGCTCTCCCTCTCTACCTCCATTCCGCTCTCTATAAAATGAGTAAAAAAAAAAAAAAAAGAAAAATATAATGAAAAATAGAGTACATAACATGAAGTAAAGGTAGATAGTATTTCATTGTGTGTGCGTGTGTTTTGGGTTTGCAGGTAAAATGTATTTCTAATGGGGTAATAGGCAAAGTTTGAAAACATATGCAATTCAGCTTTTTCTGCTCAGGATGGAATGGGGAGAAAATTTAAAGGAAACACGATATAAGAATGACAGAGCCAACCACCATCCTGAACTCTTCCCTCAAGGTAAAGGGCTGGGGCGCAGGGGGAGGATGCTGCAGCCCGCCCCTCCACTGCTGCTTCCCTTGCCGCTCTCAGTCCCCCATCCGTATGTGCTGTGAGGAGAATGGTGTCTCCGGTCTCCTGATGTAGGACTCCAGGTCTTGGAGGAGAACAAAGAGTGTGGGAAGGACACAGGATGGACATGGTCAGCCGGCATTCCAGTCTGGCTAAGAGTGAGACCAGAGCCGCTGGTCCAAATCCTCATGAACTAGCCAGCAGCCACCAGCAGCCACATGCCAGGTCACACACTGAGCCTGCAGCACCTTGAACCTGTCTAACTGGCTACTGTGACTAAGGAACTCGGAGCAGAATGACAATGGGGCCAGACAGCTCTGCACACAGGCCCAGACACAACTAAAAGCACAAGAAGCCCTGACGACAGAGATCAGCAGAATCTCCTCCACGGTCAGAGGTGGGGGCAGCATTCCAAGCACCTGCACAAAGCCTTCTCACTGCCTGGGGAGAGAGAGAGTCCCTGAACCGCACCCATTCCCATCCTCTTGAGAACATTTATAAAGCAACATGTACATGTAAACGAATTCTGTAAACTGCCTTTAAACATTCTTAGGAGCAGAGTAAAGAGAAAAGCAGAAAAGGGAGGAGAGACTGAACAAACTGAACTTCAGAATAAAGGCATAAACATAGAAGGGAATGATGAAGGACAAGCTTCCCAGCAAACGAAGCCTGTAAGACTCAGGCTCACAGCAGCACTGGTCACAAGGAAGCAACTCGAGTGTAATAATTCATACTGTGTGTCAACCTGACTGGGCCACTGGGTGCCCGGACATTCGCTCACATGTTATTCTGAGTGTGTCTGTAGGATGCCTATGGACGAACTGACATTTGAGTCAGTAAAGTGAGTAAAGGAGATTGCCTTCCCTAAGGTGGGTGGGTCTGAGGCGTGAACAGAACAAAACGGAGGACCCTCCGGTGAGTCAAAGGGAACTTCCTCTGCCTGCCCATCAGCTGGGACATCGGCTTTTCTCTCCAGATGTGGCCTGAAACAGCCACTCCTCCTGGGCCTGAGCCTGCCAGCCTCCAGACCGAAACAATACCATCTGCCCTCCTGGGGCCCCACCTGGCCAACTGCGGGTGTTGGGACTTGTCAGGCTCTGTAGTCATGTGAGCCAATTCCTTGTAATAAACATCTTTCCATCTGTCAATCAATTTATCTATCTACTTACACTCTTCTTGTTCTGTTTCTCTCTGGAGAATCTTAACTAATATACCGAATGTCCACTGGTGGGTAAATGGGTAAACAAAATGCACTCGTGCTGTGCAGGGCTGGTGGATCTCCAGAGCTGGCTTCCTGTTGCTCTGATGGCCGGTTGCCCCCTCCACAGGGAACACCAGGAAGGAGTTCTGAAGGAGCCTGAGAAAGGTGTTGGAGCAGATGAGGGAAAGCATTCCAAACGGAAGGTTCATCTGCACCAGCTTTAGGTGCACATAACCACCCCTCTGCTCAATCACTGCTCCTCCTTCCGTCTACACTCTTGGGAAGCAATGAGTTCAGTTTTTCTTAAAGAGACTCCTGCTCTGGGGACAAGAGGAGACCCTGCTCGACCAGGTGAAAGCGAGTTCATCGGTACCTCTACGTCCCGCTTCAGCTTTTCCAGGAAGTTCTTTTTAGTCTCCTCTCCCACGTGCAGCTTCTGCCCTTCGTTGAGGAAGTCATTGTCTTTAAATGTTGGCAAGTCCTTGGCCTGGGAGAACAGCAGCAGTGTTAGCCGAGCAGCCTGATTCCTTCACCCCAAGGGCCCCTGCTGGGGGCAACGGCACAGAGAGGGGAAGCGTCTATACAGCAGGTGGCCAACAGCTCGGCACAGGAGGCTGCAGGCCCAGGCTTCGGGCAGACAGGGACGGGAGTGTGTCCAACAGGGAGGACTGACAAGCATGCCTTCTTGCTGAGCCCGGGCTAGCTCGGGGCTCAGACAGCCACCCCCTGATCCAGGACGGGCCAGCCCTCCAGGACGATGAAGACCCGCAAGGGCCGAGCTCAGCGGCTGGAGACCCAGGCGAGGCTGAGCGGGAGGGAGGCTGAGGCTAGGCAGTGCTCAGTGACACCGAGCTCTGGCAGACGGCGCGTCTGGGAAGTGGACCCGGGGCTGTGATGGAGGAAGGGACAGGATGGCCGATAGGTGTTTCGCATTCCAAGCCAACCCATTCCCCACGTGATCAGCACTGGCCCCAGCTTACCTTCTCCTTGTCACTCGCTTCTCTGGCGACAGTAGAACCCTGAAAGGATAAGAGCCATCAGGAGTCCGGCTGAGGCAAATTCTGCTGAGCGGGAACCATGCCCAGTCTTTGGGGAGAGGCAGCAGGTGAGGGAAGTAGGTGGTTAGAATCCTAGAGGGGCCAGGAGGCAGCAACTTGCTCACTTCCTCTGTCACCGACCGCTCACAGACTCTATGTCCACGTCCTGCTCAGGAGACAGGACTGTGCCAGGCGTCTCAATGCTTGCCCTGGGGGGAACTTTCCCTCCAACAGGCAGACAGGCAGGAAGCTACACAATGAATGAGCCCGCTAACCACAGTGGTGCTGAGTGGTACGGAGAGGACACAGGATACTCTGAGAGCCCGAAGCACAGGGAGGGGCCTGGACTGGAGAGGGCCGGTGGCCAAGGCCTGCTTCCAGAAACAAGCGATACCTGAGCTGAGCTCAGGGGGTGCAGGAAGTAATTGGGTGGGGGAAGGTGGAGGCAGAGAAAGGGCAGGGAGGGAAATAATTCAGGCCGCCTGTGTGGACCTCGGGGAGGAGGGGAGCACAGACTCTGCAGGGCTGGGCCGGAAACCAGTGCCGCTGCAGCAGGGGGGCAGTTGTGCAAGGCAGCTGGTGAAGTCAGAGAGTGAGGTGTAAGAACAGCGAGGGCTGTGGCTCGCAGGCCGTGTGCTGCCTTCAGTGCCTGGAAACGCACTTGTGCTGTCAGTCCACGGGGCCTGGACAGATGCCAGTGTGTGTGCACTTAGAGCAGCCTGTCCCATCCCACTGCCAGCACTCACAGAGCATCCATCTCTCTATATAAAAGCCTAAGCAATCAGCTGACTGGCCGACCAGCCAGTGCTATGACATGCACTGACCACCAGGGGGGCAGATGCTCAACGCAGGAGCTGCTGAGTTGCAATCACTTGGCTGCTGCAGTGTTTGGGTGATGCACCGGAACCAGAGAGGAAGGAAGTCCGATTCTGGGGTATGTCACCCAAGAACCGCCCTCTCACAATTCAGGACTCCTCGGGGGATGTCGGAGAGCCTGTTTTGGCAGAATCCCCGCCAGCCAGGCAGAGGGACCCGACCAGTGCATGAATCTGTGCCCCAGGCCTCTTGTTGTTACATAAATGTGGTACAGGGGGGCTTAAATGACCTCCTGTCACTGTCACCTGGACTTCACATACTGTGTGGCCAACAAGAATTAGACAATCAACGCCAGAGCCACCTGTCTGTGCGGCACATGCTCTGGCTTCCCCCTTACGTGGCAGCTGGAATCGTGGCCCTCCCGAGCCCCGGGGGAGAGCAGCCACCGAGCTGGGAAACGCAGAGCCCTTTACCTTGAGGTCATACTTGCGGTGTACAGTGAGCCGATGGCTGAACACGTTCCTGGTGACCACCATGTAGGTCTCCACGCCATCCACGGTCAGGCGGTACATGCCCAGGAACTGCGGCAAGAGGGTGTTGCCGTGGCACTCCACGATGAACTAGAAAGGAAGGCGGGAGGCTCAGGAGCGCAGGAAGGTGCCGGGATGGACGGGCTCTCCCAGGCTCAGACGCTGCCTGCCTGGGATTCTAAACTGTGCTACGTGAAGTCACCGGGTTCCTGAGACTTACGGCAGGCAGCAGCCACCCCCACCCTCAACGGGCTAACAGAGCGAGAGGGGAACAGCGGTGCAGAGCCCGTTGGTTTATGTTGCTGGGGCTCCTCCGTAGGAAAACCACTGGTCTAGGCTGGCACCTCCTCTGCGGCTGCAGTGGGGAGCTGCAGAGGCCGCTGTGATCGGGCTGTCTGGGAAAACAATGCTCCCCACAAGCTCTCACCCCGCCACGCCCCAACTGTAACTCCCCAAAGACTAGATGTCCCCGTCACCACTTCTTAGGTGCCCCAGGCTCGGGGCAGGCCCTCAGATAATGCCCCCGCACTCCCGCTCCTCTCAGGGACAGCCTCCAGGTGAGTGGAGTGGGGACGGGAAGGAAAGCAGCCCTGCTGGGCCCACGGGACCGCTTTCAGAAGACATGAGGGGGAAACTTCCCAACTCTGGCAAGAAGCAGCAGAGAGCAACCAAAGGCCTTGTATGCACGCACATAAGCATAACCAACGGACACAGACGCCAGGCAGTGAGGGCATGAGCGGGGGGGAAAGGAGGGACACAGGGGGTTGAGGACACATGTAATACCTTAATCAATAAAGAAAACAAACAAAGAAGCAGCTGTTCAACTGGGACAGAGCCAGGAACGTGCCTTCGTCCTTCCCTTTCAATCCCTCCTCGCAGACACGGTACCAGGAGGCCCAGTGCTCGGGGATCAGGAAGCATCTGCTGTCACCAGAGGACCCCTCTCCCCCGCTCCCTCCCTCCTCAGCCCACCCTCCGCGTCAGGCTCGGGACTCACCGTACCTGGTGGTACTTCTTTAGGATGTTGTGCATCTCGGCCACGTCCTCGCTGGAGACCGTCTTGATGACAAAGCGCCGGTCGTAGGTGGTGAGGAAGCGTGTGCCACACCGGCCCTGGCTGTCGCTGTTGATGGGGGCGCTGCGTGTCACTGAGTTCTGAGGGACCAAGACAAAGCGAGCCGGGCTTGGGAGGGGGCCGGGACTCTGACACTGTAGCTTCTGCGATGGGCCGTTGCTCCAAAGCCAAGGACACTGAGAAGATGGGACCTTCCTCGCCCTTTTACTCCCGGGAAGGTCATCTCTCTCCCCAAAGTCTTCCTTACGAGTGACAAGAGCTGGTGCCAATCTTTGACTGGGGTGGGAAGAGGGCTTACTGTGAAATGCTCGCAAGTGATGTGACCCGCCTAGCTCCTCTGCTCCCCAGCTTCCTCACCGGAACACCAGGAGGCAGAGCGAAGTGACATTCCCGGTCTCTTAGGATGACAGAAACAAAGCTCAGGACATGTTCCAGAGGTCTAGCATCAATAAACCACGGACACAGCCAGAGGTCTAGCATCAATAAACCACGGACACCGCGGCCTCTCTCCCCTGTGTGTACCTGAGCTAGGAAACCCTTCTCAAAACAGGAGTTGGTCCTACCTCTGTCCAACGCCTCTGCCTCCCCCTCCAACGCCTGCTTAACCTGCGCAGGGCGGGCTTTCTGGTCTGTACCTGCTCCTCCTTGAGGTCCCCTCCCACTAGGGTCAGAGAGCTGTGGGGCCTCAAGAAGAGCAGGGGAAGGTGAGGCAAACAAAGGGGGTGTGTTCACCAACAGACTCGGGGGAAGGCCTTTGGGAGCAAGGCAGGGAGGGAAATGCCGAGAAAACACAGAGTGATCTGCTCACAGCAACCTCTCCTCTCTCACCTGGAACCCGACTCTACCTTCACCTAAAGCCTCCTCACGAGAAGGGAGCACCCAAAGGCCTGAAGTGGGGAGGGGCTCTCTAGACTAAAGGAGCACCCCCAAAGCAGGATGTCCCCGGCCCGGCTACGTGCCTGAGGGCCCCGCTCTCCCGGCCTTGTCCTTCCACCAGGAAGACGGAGAGGCCTCAGGCCCAGGGGGAAGACTACCTGCACCCTGGCCTCCTTTTCAGGCAGCATCTTCTGACTCTAAGTCATTGGCAGTCCTAGGGTCCCTCATAGACCACCACCCTTCTTGCCCCTATTTCAGTTGTGAGCACAATCATTTGCCCACAAGGCTATTAGAGAAAAAATGCAGACACTGAGAGGATCTGGTTAGATGACCAAGGGGAGGGGGAGGAGCCACAGTGGAAGGAAGAGGTCCGAGCAGGTTACCTGGGTTGCGACTATGGCGAGAAGTTTCCAGAAAGTCTCAGGCTGCAATCAGGTCATTATTTCATTTAAGATTTGTTCCTAGCCGCGGGGGTGGGGGACCTCCCAGCACCTCTCAGACCTTCCTGCTTGCCAAGCCCCTGGCATCTCCTCTCTCCCCCCTCTTCCCCCCTCAGGACACACATCTTTGCAGGAGGCCTTGGCGTGGAGGAGAGGGGAGGGAGACTGGCGCTCTGCTTGTCCTGGGGAAGGCTGACCGGGAGGGGGTGGAACAGTTTGTGTTTTAAATGCCTGGGGCAGCCAAAACCGGTTTGGCTCGTCAGTCTGCGGACTGAAAGGTTCCAGGTGCGATTCCGGTCAAGGGCATATACTTTGGTTGCGGGCACATCCCCAGTAGGGGGTGTGCAAGAGGCAGCTGATCGATGATTCTCTCTCATTGATGTTTCCAACTCTCTGTCCCTCTCTCTTCCTCTCTGTAAAAAAATCAATAAAATATATAGCCGAAACCGGTTTGGCTCAGTGGATAGAGCGTCGGCCTGCAGACTGAAGGGTCCCAGGTTCGATTCCAGTCAACGGCATGTACCTTGGTTGCGGGCACATCCCCAGTAGGGGGTGTGCAAGAGGCAGCTGATCGATGATTCTCTCTCATCCATGTTTCTAACTCTTTATCCCTCTCTCTTCCTCTCTGTAAAAAATCAATAAAAAATATTTTTTTTAAAAATTAAAAAAAAAAAATATATATATATATATAAAAGCCTGGGGCATCCGTTTTAGATTTCCCCAGGCTGTGCACTCCTTTCCCCGACAACGGGAAGTCAGCCAAAGGTCTTCCTGCTTCGGAAGTGAAGGGGATTCTCCACCACAGGCTGTCTCCCGAGGGAGGAAGGTCCAGGGAAGGTGCTAGGTGGGGAAGGGACAGAAACCACAGCTGTAGTTACACTAAAATGTCCCTGATGTTGGGATTCATTCCCCCCAGTGGGACAAAGGGGGCAGTTTCCTGCCATGCCTGCCCCCTCCCAACATCAGGACGGGACAAGGTTAGGGGGCGGCACTCCAGCCTGGCAAGAGATTACACTCGCCTTACATCTTCCTTTCCTAATCTGTCCTACGTGCTCTCAGAGGCCTCCTCTCCCGCTGGCAACAATTCTCTCCCTTTTAGGTCGGATTATGAAGGAGAAGCCTTCTTCAGTCTCCACTGGGATGTCAGACTAACAGGAAGCAGCTTCTGCAGTCCCTCTCCCTCCCTCCCTCCCAAGGCCTTCACCCCTCCAAGAGCCACCGACACAGAGAAAAGACTGCCTGGGCTGGAGAGTAGCAGGACAGGGGGACACAGCCAGGAACGGCAGCCACGTCTCTCTGCGTGTCCTGTGGCTTCCTGGCCCCACGCCGCCTGCCAATCCTTCCGATTCTGCAAAGACGCGTGTACCTGGTAATCCTGGTCGTCAATCCCAAACCTCTCCCGGAGGTTCCGGAACACCATGGGGCAGTACTCCTTAAACTTGAAGCGGCTGGGCAGGTTCTCCCTGGGAAAAGCGGAGACAGGCCTTTGTGAACATCTCGCTTAGTATCTTAACTCTCACGTCAGAACTCTGAGTGTGGTCCATGGACCACCGGGATCTGAACAGTCCGCAGGGCTTAAAATGCAGGGTTCTAGCCTCCAGAGATTCAGGAGGTGAGCCTGGAAAGCTGCTTTTTTAAATTCATTTTTTTTAAAATATATTTTTATTAATTTCAGAGAGAAAGGAAGAGGGAGAGAGACAGAAACATTGATGAGAGAAAAACATCAACATCCACTGGCTGCCTCCGGTACACCCCAGCTTCTAGAATAATGATGTTATTACTATGGCAGAAAGAGGTCACTAAGGGACATTTTCAAATCAAGCTTCTCCTCCCAGATAACAGTCAGAGACACTGGTGGGTGACAGAGCCCAGCGGGTGAGGTGGTGAGGACTGTGGAACAGTGAGAGTGGAACCAGGATTCAAATGCAGAAAGGAAGTGAGTGTGAGCAGCAGTTTCTGGGGTGACTCATCTATCTATCTATCTATCTATCTATCTATGTATCATCTATCTATCATCCATTCATCTATCTATCTATCTATCTATCTATCTATCTATCTATCTATCTGTGTGTGTGTGTGTGTGTGTGTGTGTGTGTGTGTGTGCCTAATATGCAAATTTCCCCTCAGGAGTTCGACCCAGAGACCTGGAGTTCGATTTCTTGCTATGGCGTGCGCTGACCACCAGGGGGCGATGAAGAAAGAAGGAGGGCCCCAGCCAGCAGCCGGAAGAAAAGTCCCGATCAGCCCTGATAGCAGGCCAGGCCTAGGGACCCTACCCATGCACGAATTTCGTGCCCCAGGCCTCTAGCAGTAGGATAAAAAGCAGGGTCTCCAAAGGGCTCAGAGTAGACCCCAATCTGTGCCTGGTGAGATGGCCTCTTCAACAACGCCTGAGACAGCCTTCAGGCCCCAGTGTCAATCCAAGAAGCCACAAGGAACGAGAAAGTGAGAATCACTGTGGACAGCGCCCTCAGGCACCGTGCTCAGCCTGCAGATCACACAAAGCTGGAGAGAAAACAGCTTGGGTGCATCCCAGGCCAGAATCATGGCAGGCAGCTTCTTGCCTCAGACTAAGATCAAGATAAGGCCACTACTTTTAGCCTCAAACAAGTTAGCTCAGCCCTGAGCAGCTCAACTTCTTACCCTGGCCCTGGATGAATCACCTGGGCAGAGCCCATGCCTCCGGGGCACTGGAGGTAGCTGATAACAGAGTGAGATGACAAGACAACTGGGAGAGAGGCCTTAATGAATGCCTTTCTCCAGCAGCTTTTCAGCTCTGACCCCGGTGTCCCTGCTACACCCTGCCAGGTGCAGGCGGCCCGCCTCGCACAGGTTTCACCAGCTCTCTGCTTTAAGGGAAAGGATTGCCCGCAAAACCTGAGTCCACTCAAGAGGCAACTTACTTATTGAAGAGATGGTTGTCCACCTTGATCTTGCTGTAGGCTTTGAAGTCATCTGGCATCAGCATGACGGGAACAGGGACATTGCTCAGCTCATTGATCTGCAAAGCAAAGGGAGAATGAGGCCCGCTGCTCGGAGGCCTCCTGCCTCAGACAGACAATGGGCCGCCATGTGGATGACACCATCTCACCATAAACATGCTCATGGATTCCCTCGTCTTCGTTTCTGCTCTTCTCTTCCCCACCTCATCTCCATCTACTGAAATTCTCCCAACCTGACATGGTCCAGCTTCCATACATCTTTCCACGATTCTAGACCATTAATGTCCTTTCCCCCGTAAGAATTCCCGGTGTCCCTCTTTTGGCCATCTCACAGCCTCCCTCATTTGTAGTTAATGCTTATTAACCTCCTAAGTCTGCTAGCCTATAACCTAGGCAAGATGGCAGCATTGATCTTTGTAAGCAAATACCATCTCACTGATCTTTGGGTGCTCTGTAGTACGTGGCCCAGGATGTGCATATAGTAGGTACTACATAAATATTTGTCAATGCAATGATGGATCAATGAGTAAATGTCACCCATCCTACGTGAGTATTGAGGCCTCTGAACATCTTCATACAAATTGTGGGTCGCTCAAGAAATCAGCGTAGGCCCTGGCCAGCTAGCTGAGTTTAGAGCACTATCCCAAAATGCCAAGGCTTCGGGTTCAATCCCGTCAGGGCACATACAGGAATTACCCAATGAATGCATAAATAAGTGGAAAATGTGCGCCCCCCCACACACACACACTTTTTTTTTCTCTGAGAGAGAGAGAGAGAGAGAGAGAGAGAGAGAGAGAGAGAGAGAGAAATCAGCTAGGGCAGGAAAAGAACTGGGCGTATAACTCATCTCCAAAGTAAAGGCTTCAATTCACAGTGAGCAGAAGAGGTAGAGATATCTGGCCACTGGCTCACTCTGACTCTCTGATTAAAGCAGGGCCAGTTCTTAAAGCTGTGTCCTGCCTTATGAAAAAAGGGGGAGGAGCGGGGGAGGGGGGCGCACGATGGGGGGTGCTTTGTTTCCACTGCAAGCGTATCTTCTCATTGTCTTTCCTCCCCTGCCGCTGGGACAGGGAGCTGGCTTCCATTGGTGCAAAACTGAGGGCAACCCCATCGCTTCCCCATTCCCAGTTTGCCAATTAGTGGCTAATTAGCCCCAGATGTCCTCTCCTATCGCAGCAGAGCATTTGACATTTGACCCTCAACCCAGTGGCCACTAATGCATTCAGGATTTACAGCGGAAACCTCAGTCCTGACTTAATGGATAGCGGGGAGGGAGGGCATAGCCTGGGTCTCCCACATCCTTCCCTTGCAAATCCCATTATGTCCATGAGGCCCCCTGTGGCCATGAGGGGGATAACCTGGAGTCATTAATTAGGACTCCCCAGAACCATAAATGGGGGGAAATGGCATTTAATTTGCTGCCCCTTTTATGTTCCAAACCATTTTATTTGGAAATCTCTGAAGAGGAAGTTCAAATTAATGCAGCAACTGGGCTGGTGAATGGGACTTTCCTGGAGCTGGTGGAGTATCCAATGGACACGTGGGGAGATTAAGAAAGGCAGAGAGCGTATGGGGAGGAGGGACAGTAGATCAGTGGGAACTGGCAGTGGGGCTGGGGGAAACTGACCCGCACAGGTACAGGAGTATATACTGTATGCTCTGTTCATATGAAGTTCTAGAACAGCAATCTACAGAGGGAGAAATCCACTAAGAGGTGGCCTGGGCTGGCTTGGGAGGAAGCTCATTGTGAAGGAACTGAGAGGTGTAACAGAAAGGTCCTCTATGTTGTTTGGAGTGATGATTACATGGGTAGATACACGTTTGTGGAAACTGGTCAACCTGTACTTAAAATGTCCAGCATCCAGCTCTGTGATGCCTGCCATCGGGCCACACACACACACACACACACACACACACACACACACACACAGCCACGCCAGTCCCCACTCCGAGGGGTGCGCAGGGAACCTGATTGTGTGCCTACGGAGGAAACCGTTCCACTTCCTTGCCTTTCTGCCAGCAGAAACAATTCATGGTAGCTGTCCCACTTCCTTTTTCCTGGCATAGTAAGCTTGGCTCTGAGAATTAAAGGAGTTCACAGCTCTTAGGTAATTCTGCCTTTCCCAGCTCATAGCATCATGCTAGAAAGAACCACCACTGGCTCAAAGAGTATGCTTTTACACCACAATGTCCTAGCATGTGCAGCTGACTGACTCTGGGTTGGTCTAATGTCCAAGCTGGGTGCCAAGGCCGGGGCTGGATCATCGAGAGCTAAAAAAGACAGAGCATTTGCCTGAGGGGGTCAATGGCCCCGTAGCCAGGGTGAAATACTCTAACAGGAACTATTCAGGAATGCTCTCTCACCAATCCTCTCTGTAACTCTTGGGGAGGCATAGTTTGAATGGTTGTTAAGCTGGTTAGTTTTGGGCTCTCATTCCCTCTCTATTCTTGACTACCCAACCTACTAGTGGGAAATCTCTGAGATAATATAGTTGGTCAACAATCCACACATCTGAACTATGTAGATTCCCCCCTCATTTCCCGGGACCACATGGAGATGATTCACTCACTCTAGGGATTAGCTGTACCTCTTTAATTTAGTTGTGCTAAATTTTTTTGTCCCCCGAGTCCTATTCAATTTCAATGGAACAAGCACTTACTGAAATACCTCCTACATGCTTCATGTGTGTTAGGGGAGAGGGGCCACGCAGGGAAAGACAAACGCAGGCTCCAGGGAGAGCGGAAGTGGTATACGAGCCAGTGAGGACGAAGGGACGGGCATCAGGAACAGCTGGCGCTCGGTCCAGAGAAGGTGAGGTTAGTGTGGGCAGAGGGTAAGACTCCCAGCCTCACACATCAGGCTAGGAACAGGGCACCTCCTGCCCCTTCTGCTACTGCCAAGAGCACTTGACACTGGAAGAATCTACAAGCTCCTGTTACAGCCCAGCTTAACTCTCCCGGGCGCATCACCCTCAGGGCCGCTGTGACTCCTTCCCCTCGAAGGTCGTTCCTGATCTGGCTCTTCAGCTTACTTTTCTACTCGCTGCATTGAGGGCTTACTCTAGGCCAGTCCTGTGCCAGGAGCTGGGGACGCAGAAAGGGGACAGACATACCTCTGTTTTGGCTGGGAAGACAGACGAGTAGCTAATACAACATGAAGATGCGATAGTTATAAATAAAGGGAGATGGGAAAACAGATTAAGAAATGATTGATTCGTCCGGCTGATGCTCAGGGGTTGAGCATCAGCCTATGAACCAGGAGGTCACAGTTCAATTCCGGATCAGGGCACAGGCCCAGGTTTCGGGCTTGATCCCCAGTGTGAGGCACGCAGAAGGCAGCTGATCAATGATTCTTTCTCATCACTGATGTTTCTATCTCTCTCTCCCTCTTCTTTCCTCACTGAAATAAAAATATATATATTTTAGCTCTAACTGGTTTGGCTCAATGAATAGAGCTTCAGCCTGTGGACTGAAAGGTCCCAGGTTCGATTCCGGTCAAGGGCATGTACCTTGGTTGTGGGCACATCCCCAGTGGGGGGGTGTGCAGGAGGCAGTTGATAACTGATCCAGGTTTCTCTCTCATCAATGTTTCTAACTCTCTATCCCTGTCCCTTCCTCTCTGTAAAAAAATCAATAAATATATTTAAATATATATATATATATTTTTTTTTATTTTATTTTTTTTTTTTAAGAAAAAAAAAAAAAAAGATTGATTCTGCCCTGGTCCAAGTTTCTCAGTGGTTAGAGCATCAGCCCAAGAACCAAAGAGTCTCGGGTTTCATTCCTGTCAAGGGCACATACCTGGGTTTCAGGTTCAATCCCCAGCCCCTGTTGGGGGGCATGTGGGAGGCAACTAATTGATGTGTCTCTCTCAAATTGATGTTTCTCTATCTCTTCCCTTCCCTCTTTCCTTTCCACTCTCTCTAAAAATCAATGGAAAAAATATTCACAGGTGAGGATTTAAAAAAAAATAAGTGATTGATTCTGACTGAAGAGTGAGAGTTGGTTGCTAGAGGAAGTCAGAGAGAAATATACCTAAGAAAAGTCTAGAATGGTAAATCTCAAAAAAAAAAAATAATAATAAGCGGAAGGGAATTCCAGGCTGTGAGAACAGTCAGAACCAAGACTCAGATTTGTGCCCGGCCAAGGTGGCTCAGTAGTTGAGCGTTGCCCTATGAACCAGGTCAAGATTCGATTCCCAGTCAGGGCACATGCCTGGGTGGTAGACTTGACCCCCCGTAAGGGGTGTGCAGGAGGCAGCCAATCAGTGATTCTCTCTCATCACTGATGTTTCTCTCTCTCTCTCCCCCTCTCCCTTCCTCTCTGAAATCAATAAAAATATTTTAAAATATATATATACTTTTAAAAGTAGAGAGATAATACAGGAAAGATAGGTGAATGGTCTAACATATTATCAATTAATAAATAACATCTGCTTCTATTTATTGAATGCCTGTAAATGGCCAGTGCTTTATATTATTGTATATTACATTACGTATCATAATACATTTATACATTTATATTGTCTTTATTATTTCTATACTTAATAGTTACATAAGGTATTATTAATTTGATTTTGCAAAAGAGGTTCAAGGTGCCGTGCTCAAGGTCACACAGATAATGTGTGCAGACTCAGGATTTGCTCCCAGGCTTTATGGTGCCAAAGCCGGGCCCTTCATACTGCCCTGTACAGTCCTTCTTCTGGACCAACACCCTGGCTAAGGTAGTGTTTTCCCTCCCTTGCCTCTTTCCTAATAATCTTTGGGGAAAGTGTGCTCATTTTAGGGAAAGGGAAAATGAAAATCAAGAGAGAGAAATTACTACTCAAAAGCTAAACCAACATAAGGGGGACAGCCTGGATTTGAACTTCGGCTTGTCCACTAAATGATAAATTTGGACTCAACTACGCAGGCAACGGGAAATCCTCTCAGGTTCAAGTCTGGGAATTTTCGTGATCAGACGGGCGATACAAAAATGTAATTCTGGAATCAAAGTCAAGTAAGGTTTGGAAAGGGCAAAAACAATAAGCAGTAAGGTCATTTATGGGGCCATTACAATA